TCTACCAGCTGCCATCTTGCACGCCCGGGGTTTGACAGCTGCTGCCTTGTGCGCCCAGTGCCACCACTTGTTTTGCAGAGACCCCTCTCCGCCCAGCCACCTGACTCCGCCCCTCCTACAGGTCTGGATGAATGTGTCTATTTTAACTGCTTGGTTGTCAGACTTCCATACAGTTCAATTTTCTGTCAATTCTAGTGGTTATTCTGTCTCTAAATTGTTGTTGTCCTTATCTTGTTTGTGCAAGGAGGCAGTGTGTCTACCTATGCCTCCATCTTGGCTGGAAGTCTAGTTTCTTTCCTTCTTGCTTTTTCTGCATGTACCTGTCCATTTTTTCCAACACCATTTATTGAATAGACTAGCTTTACCCCATTGCACGTTCTTGCTTCCTTTCTCAAATATTGACCAATAAGGTGTGGATTTATTTCTGGACTCCTATTCTATTCGTCTATACATCTGTTTTTATGTCAGTACCATGCTGTTTTAGTTACTCTGGCCTTGTAGTATAGTTTGGTATCAAGTACCATGATTCCTCCAACTTTTTCTTTTTCTCATTTTTGCTGTGGCTATTGGGGTCTTTTGTGTTTTTATATAAATTTTTAAAGTACTTGTTCTACTTCTGTGAAATACACAATTAGTATTGATAGGAATTGTGTTAACATTATATATTGTTTTGGGTAGTATGGACATTTTAATGATGATACTTCTTCCTATTCATGAACACCGTATATGTTTCCACTTAGTTGTAGCTTCTTCAATTTCTTTCTTCAGTGTCTTAATTTTCCAAGTACAGGTCTTTTACATCCTTGGTTAAGTTTATTCCAATATTTTTTTTTGTCTTTGATACAATTGTAAATGGGATCGTGTTCTTAGTTTCTCAGATAGTTCATTATTGGTGTATAAAAATGCAACAGATTTCTGGGTATTTTGTATCCTACTTCACTGATTTATCAGTTCTAGTAGTTTTTTAGTGGAATCTTTAGGGTTCTCTACATACAGAATCATGTCATCTGCAAATAATGAGTTTTACCTTTTCCTTTCCAGTTTGTGTATCTTTTATTTCTTCTTCTCATTTGATTGCTGTGGCTAGGATTCCCAGTACTATATTGAGTGGTCATACATTAAGAAAGCAGACATGCCTGTATTGTTTTTAATCTTAAGGGAAATGATTTTAGTTTTTGCCTGTTGAGGATGATGTTGGCTGTGGGTTTGTTATATATGGCCTTTATTATGTTGAAGTATGTTCCCTCTATTCCCACTTTAGCATCAATGGGTGCTGGGTGTTTTAAATTTTTTTTAATCCTTACCCAAGGATATGTTTATTGATTTGAGAGGAAGAGAAACATCTATCAGTTGCCTCCTGTATGTGCCCTGACCGGGGATCAAACCCACAACCTTTCTTGGTGTATGGGATGACACTCCAAACAACTGTTGAATTTTATCAAATGTTCTTTCCGCATCTATTGATAGGATCATGTGGTTTTTATCCTTCATTTTGTTTATGTATTTATTACATTAATTGATTTGCAGACATTGTTCCAACCTTGCATGCCAGGAATAAATCCCACTTGGTCATGATCTTTTCATATTGCTGGATCCGGTTTGCTAATATTTTGTTGAGGATTTCAGTATCTATATTCATCAGGGATACTGGCCTATAATTTTCTTTCTTTGTAGTGTCTTTATCTGGTTTTGGAATTAGGATAATCCTGGCCTCATAGCATGAGCTTGGGAGTCTTCTTCCCTCTTAAATTTTTCGGAACTAAACATTCATTTTAATGAACAGAAAACTGAAACAAAACAAGAATGATTCTAAAATTTCCTGCTCACAAGAAATATAAACAAATACCAAAAGTTTTATTTAAACAAAAAAATTCAATCACAGAACATTTAAAAAGCTAACAGGATCATTTCTATATTCTTCTGAAAACCAGCATAGTAAGAAAGGTAATTCAAGAATTTCCTAAATGTCTCACTAGCCATTATTTATGGTATATTCCCTAACACTGGTATCAGCCTATTATAGACCTAAAATTTAATATGATGTAACTTTACAGTCTTGCTAATTAACTATGATTTTATTTTAACCTTGGATATTATTGGCTTGAAGCTAATATTATCAGTCCTATTGGTTGTCATGTCAAAGATGTGAAGACGTGGTTAGATTAGTCAAGCTAAGGAAATACTGATATATTAACAAGCTTTAAATATTGTGGGAGAAAGCTGATTTAAGGGTTAAAGCTTCTAAACTTGATTCTAATACTAAAAACAAGGTAAGCCATCTGAGATATGCTTTCATGGTAAAACATTCTATCTGGTATTCTGGTATAAAAAAATCTACAAAATACGTGATATAAGACTAAAATATCTTTCTTTACCATTCCCTTCAGTTTCTTTGGCCTTCACAAATTCCATGTGAGCTATGAATTCTTTTTCAATAAACACTTTTCAATGACACTGTGCTTTTTAGAAAAATCACTTAAGTCATATCTTTCCCTAGCTAACTTTAGTATCTCCCTTTTATTGTTAGAGTATATTCTAATTTTTTAAAAATCAGAGGAAAAAACGACCCCAAAGGACTTCTTAAAATGTCTGTTAAAGGAAACTTCTAGCTGGTTTTCATCCCTTGAAGAGTTAACAGAAGTGTCAAAGGAACATTAACAAGAAACTAAAAAACAGGCTCCTTTCTTCCCATCTCAATACCATCTCAGGAACAACTTTCTAAACTGAGGAAAGAAAGTCTGTACCCAACAGCCCCACCTGCACATCACCCTGTCAGCACCTTTTAACAATGATGCTTAATTGTTTTTCCCCTTTACATTTTAGTGAGTGCTGTTCCTAGGAGCGCCACAGATGCAGGGATCCATAGCCTGTGGAAGAGCTTATTCTATAAAATGCATTTCATCTTTTACAAACATGACACACCCCACAACTTGGACCATGATTTAAGTGATCAAATCTACTCAGGACATCTAACAACACAGCTCAACTCCTTTGTTATGCTTTCTCACCCTGTCCCTTTCAACGATCCCATCTTCACTAGTGACGAGTCCGCCTGGGAACGAATGGGCTTTGCTTTAATCAACATGCACTTTTCAGTTGCGGAACTAAAACAGTAACTTGTCCATAGCAGGCTGCTGACATAGTTATAGCAAACAAAACACAGTTAACATTAATTTCTCTGTTATCATTTATTTCCAGGGCATAGGTAATTAAAGAAAGATCAAAAAGCTGACTCAGAAGTAACAATCATTTACTGGGCCCTGTGTTAAATGCTACACATGACCCCAGGCCTAAAAAGGGATCATGGTCTGGGATAAGGAACTCTACGCTATATATGAGTGAATTTAAACTTTAAATGTATTACAAAAAAGAACTTTTATATAAAAGAATTCTTTTGTAGAATATTTTTCTTGAAAATCAGATTTTTTTTTACTTTCTTAATAATTTTATTTATTTATTTTCAGAGAGAGAGGAAGGGAGGGAGAAAGAGAGGGAGAGGAATATCAATGTGTGGTTGCCTCTCAAGCACACCACACTGGGGACGTGGCCCACAGCCTAAGCATGTGCACTGACTGGGAATCGAACCAGCGATCCTTTGGTTCACAGGCTGGCATTCAGTCCACTGAACCACACCAGCCAGAGCAAAAATCAGATTTTCTTATCTTGCATTATATTAGTTTTAACTAGGCATGCACACTAAGTACTGGTTTGCTTCACTACAGTATCTTTTTTGTTTGTAACTCCTAAAAGAATTTAAAAATCACTACATTAAATGGGTTAGGAAGCAAGAAGAAGGGATAAGGAGGAAAAACCTCCTGTTTGGAAAATATCACTTCTTCTTTTCTCACTATTAGTTTTTGATATTTGGTTTAGAACTTACCCTGTTTTGAAAAGTGTGTGTGAGTGTGCGAATGTGTGTGTTTGTGTGTGTGTGTGTGCACGCGCTAAGGAAAGAGAGCTCAGGGTGAGAGGGAGAAAGACTGAAAACTAATTGATTTCACATATTACTTTTCATGCAGAATGCTGACTCAAACTTGTAGATCTGTAAGAAATGCCACAGGACACACCCTTCCAGTTGACAGATGGGATGCTGGTCAATGCATTAACCACTTAAATAAAGCCAGTTAGATCTTCAAATTTACTCAGTTAAATTTTGTTCTTCTTAACACTGTGAAATCTATGTTGGTAATCCCTGAATCTTGACTCTTTAAGCTTGAGAATTTGTTGGTAATCCCTGAATCTTGACTCTTTAAGCTTGAGAATTTGGAAACCTTTGCTGCTCCTTAGATGAATTTGATATACTAGATAATTGTATTCAAATGAAGAAATGCTACGAGCCCATACAAATCAGAAGTGTAAATGCTAATAAAACAAGCATAAGAAATGGCACTGTATGAATATTAAAACTAGCAAGTCTACACAATAATCTTAGAAACAATTAAAATAGGTAAATACAGCTATAGTAGCTATGCATATGATGCAAAAAATAAGCCTATCTTATTTTTAAAAATAATCAGGCTTCTAGTCACTATCAATGAGAACCCTCCCAAAAATTACCTCAAAATGTGCCAATTCTTTCTCTCATATACAAGCAGAATTCTACGCTTCTCCTGTAGCAACAGCTGTCAGAAAATCTTAACCTCATCAAGTTCAAACACAGAAAAAGGAAAAGACTGAGCTTACATTATTATGCTAAATAGCTTATCTTCACAATTTTAAAGTGAAAACTTTTGAAAGAGGATTTGATCAAACATAAACACACTCTCCTTTAACCCCCAAAATCTGGCCAAAAAAGCCCCATGAAGAAATTACAACTTTTTGAGTGGCAAACTCATAGTCTAAATATTTCAATCCAGATCGTTAATTTCCATTTTTGACACTAGCCAGCTAAAAGCACCTCAATATCACTTCATTAATAACCTTTTCATTCCTAAATAAATTGCAGGGGTAGAACACAGAAAATAGAGAGAAAAATACCTTGGAAGTAATACAGGGATACCTCATTTTAATGTGCTTCACTTTATTGTGCTTCAAAGATGTTGCGTTTTTTACAAACTGAAGGTGAGACCCTCCATCAGCAAAAAGATTACGACTTGCTCTGTTACTTTATTACGGTGGTCTGGAACCAAGCCTGCAATATTCCCAAGGTATGTCTGTACTGAATTTGATGCAATCCTTCATTAATTTCAGTGTAAAGCATATACCTTTTTCTAAGCCTAGCCCACCGTAAGGAGTCAAATGATTACTCAAAAGACTTGCAAATCTTTCAAACAATATTAAAGAGTTTCTAAACTCACATGAAGATAATAGTTTTATACAAGGCAGTGAAGGGGAGTTAAATTAACTCCAGGAAATTTTTTGGAACAAAAGTGAAGAGAATTCTGACTGTAACAATATTGATTTAATTTGAGACATTTGATGATAACTCTCTGTGGTAATTTCAAAGAACAAGATAGAAGGTTATTCAGCAGATTGCTTTTTAAAAAACTACAAATTCAAGGAAATAAAAACCACGTATAGGATATAAAAACACAGAGTTGGATATCCAATATGTATACATTCCACCTTCAAATTTAAGATCATGTTGTCAGTTGTCCGAAGCAGCTCAAACTTAAAGTTTGTGCTATGAAATTATACAAATATTTTCTGTTAAGGGCTGGAGAAAACCAACACACTACTATACTATTTAGCTTCCTAAACTACTTTGACCTACAGATAACAAACAACAAATTTGAGAGACTAAAGTTAACTAAGGTAGAAATCCTACCAAGAAAAGCTTTTAGTTTTTAAGTACACAAACAAATCTGAAAATAAATCACAGCATCTTCTCTTTATACATAACTTAGCAAAACCTTAAACAAATGTGCACCTACGTTGCCACTGGCTTTAGATCTTCCAATAACCGCCAATTACTTTTAAAACACACAGTCCTCTCAGACTGAAGGAGAGGGTCCAGAGATCCAACACCCGGCATCCTTTAAAGAAAATGGGAGCTAAGTCTGTTTCTGATGTTGATTTGAATGCAGATTCCATTTTTCAAACTCCCCCACAAATTACTGGAAAAATGAGGTAATTTCACAAAAATCACAGATTGAATTGCATAATTATAACTGATATATAAATAAGGATTTACTAAAAAAGGTTTAAAGGAGTGATATTTTAAATCAAGGTTTTAAATACAAAAGGTGTCTTGTGTTGCTTTATCGCCCACAGTTTCAGATGCTCCTCATTCTACTGTTACAGATTTAGCAAGATTCCGGGGAAAATCAACCTGCAAAAAAAGAGCAAGATTAAAGAAATTATGTAGATTTTGGGGGGATTCTATAAGCAAATTTTTTTATTTATAAAAACAGAAAATGTGTTTATTAACCATCTTTGTTATAGTCTACAAAGAATCAGATTAGAAAATACAGTCACATAATGTATCTGTAAAAGACTCAAAATCAGGAAAAAGAATTCTAAAGGAAGCCAGTTCAGCCCACAAAGAGTTCCAGTGGTCCTCAACAGAGGTGGCAGCCCTCTGAGGGGACAGCAGAAAGGTACTCATATAAGAGCAGGATGTTTTGATTGTCCCAATGATGAGGGACCAAGAATTATAAAAGTCCTGCAATGTGTGAGAGAGTCCCAAACAAAGAATTGCCAATAGGTACCCTGTTAGGAAACACAGAATAAAAACGGGGGGAGATTCCCCAAGAAGGTAATCTCTGATGGTGGCGATAATCTCCAAGATTCCTTTAAATTCTATGGGTAAGAAAATACTGCAATGTAACCTAAAAACTGGGCCATACAAACATAACCGCTGACACATATCTGATGAATTTCTCAAATGCTATTATTAAATATTTAGAAGGAAATCTATCAAAATATACTGGGGTAGAAAGGCAGCCCAAGATTTTTGTAGTAGTCACTTACATCGTAGCCTCGCAGCACAGCAAGGTGGAAAGCCAGCAACTGCAAGGGGATCACACTGAGAATGCCCTGCAAACAGTCCACTGAGTGGGGCACCTTGATTGTCCTTTTTGTGTTCTTAATGGTCTCGGTGTCTTCCTTATCACAAATCACCACTGGGCGTCCCTGGGAAAGAAAGCCACACACACAATCGGGTAAACAAAGGCAGAACTGTAGCAAGTGAAAGTGTAAATTCTGCACGCCACAATCTGCATGTGGCCTCACTAACACAGACTTATTTAAACTCACAATCCTATATGGTAAGTCAGGTTGATCTCACGTACAGTCAAGGAAATGGAGGCTTTGTGGGAGTCAGTAATTTACTTAAACTCACACAACTATGAAACATCAGGCTCAGTACAGATGCTCCTCAACTTATAAACTCACAGTAAGTTGAAAATATAAACCAAAAATGCCTTTAATACACCTAGTTACCAAACTAGCTTAGCCTAGCCTACCTTTAACATGCTCAGCAGTCTTACTGGCCTACAGTTGAGCAAAATCATCAAACACAAAACCTACTTTATAACAAACTATTGAATATCTCATGTAATTTATTATGCATATTGCTTTCACACTGTCATAGAGTTGAAAAATCTTAAATCAAATCAATATATGTCAGGGACCATCTGTACTTAATCCAGATATTCCTACCTTCAAAGCCCAAGTTCATAAAAACTACATGGTGAATGGAGATTAATATCTTTTTGGATTTATAAATTAAGCCAAATGACCTGGAGATAACTCAATTAAGCACAGCATCTATAGTTTCAATGCAAAATCTAGTTCCCCCTAAAATATACATTTACAAATATTAAATTAAAAGGGAGTACCAAAAACTAACTGAAGAGGACAGGCTTTGAAGAGCAAGACCTCAGTTTTGGTCTTGATTTTGATGATAAGAGATCTATAAGTTGGGTCCTATCACAACTTGAGAATCTCAAATTCCTCACATGCAAACCTAAACACATTTTGTAAGCTAATTAATGGGCACTGATCTATCACTTTAAATGTCATAAATTTCAACAATAGCAGTCCTGGCTGGTGTAACTCTGTGGATTGAGTGCTGGCCTGCAAACCAAAGGTCGCCAGTTCAATTCCCAGTCAGGGCACATGCCGGCGTTGCAGGCCAGGTCCCCAGTAGGGGGCACATGAGAGGCAACCATATATTGATGTTTCTCTCCCTCTTTCTCCCTCCCTTCTCCTTTGTCTTAAATAAAATCTTTAAAAATAAAAAATATAAATGTCATAAAATTCAAATAGGCTTTAATGGCTCAAACACCAAGGAGTCCATCCAGCAGCTGCTGACTTACCTGCCTAGCAACCACCTGCTGAAGGGCATTCTGACACTTGGCATAAGTGTGATCCCTCATGATGATCATGATGACAGGCATCAACTTATCCACCAAAGCCAGAGGGCCATGCTTCAACTCACCAGCGAGGATGCCTTCAGAGTGCATGTAAGTGATTTCTTTGATTTTCTAACAGGAAAGAACTAGATTAGTCTTCAGTCTGTTTTTCAAAAACCCATTCTTAAGTGAATATGCACAAAACATTTGATGTTTGAAGTCAGTGCCTATTTATCCAAAGTACTAAAGGACCACAGATCTGTAAATATAGCTAACAGACTAACAGATCATTATTTCCAAAATATCAACAAGTGACTAGAAGTTTTAAAACTCTATAAGGACTTTTTCAAGATTTTAGGTTATTATGAACACACTCATATTTCTTTGCAACTATTCTCTGCCTTGGTTAATCTTTGACCTGAACTTAAATCCTACACGTAGAGAACTTATCTTAATTTTATTCATGTTTGGACAACAAATCAATCCAAGTTACTTGCTAAACCCAAGTAACCATGCTAAAATGTACTCTTCTTGATTTTCATTTTTGAATTAAGTATCAATTGCTATACCTTTTCAAGGCATGCACAGAGAATCAGGATGCATAGAGAACAAACGCACTTATAAAAGTTCCACCTATGTCATTCAATCTAAAAGTATGTGCCATGTGCGTAAGTCAACAAACTGAAATTTTAAGTGAGACGACTTACTAGGGCGCCTTCAAGACAAGTAGCATAATGATAGCCACGTCCCATTATCAAAACTGACTTCTGATGATAAAGTTCTGTTGCCAGTTTCTGAATTTCATCATCCATGCTCAGCACTTCCTTAATCAAATCTGTTAAGAAGTAACATTAGCAACATCTATGAAAAAAGGACAATAGACAGAATTGATAATCTATTGGTAGCACCTGACAAAAACCTGTGTTTGTACTCCTTTGTGGTATCAGTGAGAAGTTTTCAAATACATGGGTATGAAAGCAAAAAGATTTGTTAACTAAACAGCTACCAGCCACGGCTTCCAGGATAAAAAGAGAACTTCACCCCCACTGACTCCCTCAGACAACAAAAGTAAAGGACGAGAGTATCTTCGTACCAGGCAGCCGCTTCAGCCCAAGCATGATCTCTTTGCGTCTCTCTTGCATGGAGATCCTGTCATCACACATCATAAGGGCAAACATCACGAGGGACACAAACTGGCTGGTGTAAGCCTGAAACACCACAAAAAAACAGTTGCATTTTAAGAACTTGGAATTTTTCATTTAAAAAAGATTCAGTGAAAACAAATTCCCACTGGTTTTATAAGCATATGTTGTCCATGTCTTAATAAACAGTATTAGTAACAGTGAACTGAACCAGTGCTTAGGAAATTTATCACTAGTCCCCTTTTCTGAATTTGAACAAATGGTTTGCACCTTATTTCCAGATACAAAATAAAAGTTTCTTAAAATGCATTGGATACTTATGAAATCCCTAATACACTCAAGAAAGAAGAGAGAGAGGCCAAAGAAAGTGGATAGAGAGCCTGCATAAATGTAACTAAATTAAGTTTTGATGTAAAAGCCAGGGTTTAAAGGACTCTCCTTGACATACTTGCACGGCTTTTGTTGGAATTTTTTAACATCGGTCTTTGATTTTCACCTTTGCCTACTGCTTATTCCTCACTCCCACCTTTTTAAAGTTCCACTAAAAATATTTTTTAAGTTCAACTGTATAAAAGTAAATAAAAGTAAGAATAACCTTCAATCTTATTACAGGAATAATCACATTAACAACATGCTATTAATAACATTTGTGAATACTGCCTTCTAATATCAACAATATTTTTCTTTTCTATATTGTTTAGAAAATTAATTATTAGTAGGTATAATTGTATAAACTTGCTTTTATTCTTAATGAACATAATACTTTCCCAAGAAAGAATGCTCTCTTTCTTGTTTACTAGTGTATAAAATAACTTTAAGCAGTTTTTTCCATCTCTTTAGGCCTCAGATGGCCCACCTGTTAATTAATGGTACACAATACCTACAAGGTAATCATGGGAATTAAATGAGACAAGTATAAATCATTCGGTGTAATACCTGACATATAGGCTAAAAACAAACTTGTTATTGATGAAAGCTTGAACTAAAAGACTTACTTAATTTAAAAAATTTTCCTAAACAATAGACTTCTGAATATTTTAAACCTTGCATTCATAATGCCAGGACTATTTTTATTCCCATTAGCCATAGATGAATGTAAGATATGACTGCTTTGTTACATTCTTTGGAATATTGAAAATTACCCATTTATAGCAGTTGGTAGACCTGACAGTCCTACATTTGAGTGTGGAAAAACCAGGAGGAACAACAGGGGAGCGAGACAGACCATGCAACCCATTGTTTCAACATGAGAAAAGAAAGCCTCTGGCTGTAAAAACCCGTGGGGGCTGCAGCAGTAGGAGAAACTCTCAGCCTCACAGGAGAGCTCGTTGGGGAGACGCACAGGGTCCTAGAATGTACACAAACCCACCCACTTGGGAATCAGCACCACAGGGCCCAATGTGCTTATGGGTAGTGGGGAAAGTGACTGAAAGCCAGATGAGAGCTGAGCAAGCAGAACTGTTCTCTCTCCAACCCCTCCCCCACATACAGCCCCACAATGCAGCTACTTGGGGTGTCCTGCCCTGGAACCTAAGGCTCACCCCTTACAATGTAACAGCTAGGCCAAGACAAATAAATATGGCCTAAATGAAAGAATAGATCAAAGCTCCAAAAATAGAACTAAGCAATGAAGAGATAGCCAACTTACCAGATGCAGAGTTCAAAACACTGGTAATCAGGATGCTCAGAGAAATAGTTGACTATGGTCACAAAATAAAGGAAAAAGTGAAGGCTATCCAAAGTGAAATAAAGAAAAATGTACAGCCCTGGCTGGTGTATGGTGTGGCTCAGTGGACTGAGCTTGGGCTGTGAACCAAAGAATCACCGGTTTGATTCCCAGTCATGGCACACGCCTGGACTGCAGGTCAGGTCCCCAATAGGGGATGTGTGAGAGGCAACCACACACTGGTATTTCTCTCCCTCTCTTTCTCCTTCCCTTCCCCTCTCTCTAAAAATCCATAAATAAAATCTTTAAAACAATATATACAGGGAACCAACAGTGAAGGGAAAGAAACTGACACTCAAATCAATTGTGTGGACCAGAAGGAAGAAAGAAATATTCAACCAGAACAAAATGAAAAAACAAGAATTCAATAAAATGAAGAGAGGCTTAGCAACCTGTGGGGCAACTTCAAACATTCCAACATCTGAATCACAGAGGTCCCTGAAGGAGAAGGGGAAGAGCAAGAAATTGAAAACTTATTTGAAAACATAATGAAGGAGAACTTCCCCAATCTGGCAAAGGAAATAATTTCGACTTCTAGGAAGTCCAGAAAGCTCAGAGAGTCCCAAAGAAGTTGGACCCAAGAAAGCACACACCAAAGCAGATCATAATTAACTTACCCAAGATTAAAGATAAAGAGAGAATCTTAAAAAGAGCAAGAGAAAAGGAGAGAGTTACCAACAAAGAAGTGCCCACAAGACTATCAGCTGATTTCTCAAAAGAAACCTTGCAGGCAAGAAAGGACTGGCAAGTAGTATTCAAAATCATGAAAGGCAAGGACCTCTATCCAAGATTATTCTATCCAGCAAAGCTATCATTTAGAATGGAAGGGTAGATAAAGTTCTTCCCAGATAAGGTCAAGTGAAAGGAGTTCGTCATCACCAAGAGTTTATTATATGAAATGTTAAAGGGCCTTATCTAAGAGAAGGAAGATGATCAAAAATATGAACAGTAAAATGACAACAAACTCACAGCTATCAACAACCGAACCTAAAAAAAAACCAAAAAAACAAAAACAAACTAAGCAAACAACTAGAACAGGAACAGATTCACAGAAATGGAGATCACATGAAGAGTTATCAGCGGGGAGCGGGAGAATGGGGGAAAAGGTACAAGGAATAAGAAGCATAAATGGTAGGTACGAAATGGACAGGGGAGGTTAGGAATAGTATAGGAAATGGAGAAGCCAAAGAACTTGTACGTACGACCCACGGACATGAACTAAGGAGGCAGGGAGTGGAATGATGGTGGGAGGAGTGGTGCAGGGCAGAGGAGAATAAAGGGGAGGAAAAAAATGGGACAACTGTAATAGCATTATTAATAAAAACATATTTTAAAAAAACTAAGCAAACAACTAGAAAAGGAACAGAATCACATAAACAGAGATCACATGGAGGATTATCAGTGGGGAGGAGGACTGGGGAGAATGGGGGAAAAGGTACAGGGAATAAGAAGCATAAATGGTAGGTACGAAACGGACAGGGGAGGTTAGGAATAGTATAGGAAATGGAGAAGCCAAAGTATAACCCATGGACATGAACTAAGGTGGGGGGGCTATGCTGGTGGGAGCTGGAGTGCAGGGCAGAGGGGAATGAAGGGGAAAAAATGGGACAACTCTAAAAGCATAATCAATAAAATATACTTTAAAAAAAGAATAAAGAGAATTATCCTTTAAACAAATTTTTACCATTGACTGACGGTGGACTCTTACTAATACTTTATTATATATATATCATGAATCTAAAAAAATCAAGATTTTTATTCATGCTTGTTAGCCATTTTTTCTCTTTTAAAAATTAACTTTATTGTTTTCCCCTATTTTTCAACTTAAGCTTTTTTCTTAAGTTGGTCATTAGAAGGTCTTTACTGTTATGTTTCAAATAGTCATACCTTGGTACTTGTTGGTTTCAGAACTTGTCAAACCCTGTACTCATCACATTTTGATGAGAAAAAAAACGTGGCAAAGAGCACTCATGGCTTGCCGGGGACTCGTCGCACTTGCTAGAACTTGTATGAGCCACGACACCTCCCCACAAGAGAAGATACTTCATGGTTCAGTACTCGTCAGTTTCAGCACTTGTCACAAGTTCTGGAACAAATTAACGAGTACCAAGGTACCACTGTACTTTCTCCCAGTTTGATTTAACCTTTTATAATGATGTTTACTGACACAGAAGTTTTATTTCTTTAACTTTTATGTAGTACTTTTAAGCTTAGGCAGTTTTTCCATCCTAACATCAGTTAAGTATTATTAAATTTTCTTAATTCTGTTGTTTTCATTGTCCTTTTTTATTTAACTTTTCTTTACATTTTCCTTTTTAGTCCATTTGAAACTAATGTTAGTGTAAGGTGTTAATGTTTTTCTATTTTGTAAATACCCCATTTTCCCACCCTTTTTATAAATACGCATTTCACCCCACCTTTTCTCTACTGGTTTTGACTTTTCCTATAGTCTAAGTACTTTGATGTACAATACAACTCTTCACATCCCATCAGAGTACAACTCTTTGATGTACTAGAGTTATGTTGCAGGGCTATTGATTCTGTCTCTTTCTCTACAAAACAATCTTCACATCCAGAAGTATGGTATTCCATCAATTTGTGTTCCAGAATTTTAAAAATCTATAGAATTTTAAAATCTATAGTTAATATAGTCATTATCTATTCAATAAATATTTATGGAGCACCTTACACATTTCTTGTTAAAATTATTTTTTAAAGCTATTGAAAATAGAATCCCCCTCCAAACACACACATCTAATCTTTTCTAAGTAGCCACTGTCGGTTTATAGAGAAAATAGATATGTTTAATGTAAAACACCTTATATGAATTCTTATTCACTCTAAGAAGTCTTTTACTTGATATTCTTGAGCTCTACAGGTAGTCAATCATATCAACTACAAATAAGGAGAATTTTATTTCCTCCTTTCCCACTGTTTTACTTATCTTTTTTTAATTAAACTGAACAGAACTTCTAGAACTGGGATAGCAAATATGTTTTACAGAAAGCCAATCCTAACTCATCTGTAGTCACAGTGAAACATCATGTTGAAAAAGATTCTAAGGCCACATTTTTTTTTTTACTTCACAGTAATACAAATAAAATCTTAGGAAGGTTCCAGAAGATAGCTAAGACCCTTAAAATAAAGGCCCTGAAGCTTTCTGTTTTGTGCTTCCTTCATTAATTTTTCTCTATTTGATTCCTTTGCTTTATTGAGTTCCTTTTTCTAACTTTTGAGTTAAATACATACTTCATTTGTTTAAGATAAAACATTTAATGCTATGAATTTTCTTCGAATCATTAACTTGGCTACATAGTCTAAATTTTTACCCATACGATTCATTGTCATTATTTTTTCTAAATCTTTTTTAATAGTAGTTCTGGTATCTTTTTAACTCAATAGGTATTAGAGGAATGTTTTTATCAGGGATTTGAGGATTTCACTCAAAATTTATTATTAAATCACTAGGATTACAGTGGTATGGTCAGTTACAATGCTATGTGTAACTTTAACTTTAGGAAATTTATTTTGGGTTTTTTTGTGTGTGTGAGTGTCTATGTGTGCATTACAGCTGACTTTGTTACTCTTCTCTGGATAAGGAATCACTTCACTAGTGAACATTTTCCTATTGTAATGTGGAAAATAAGCCTCCTGTGTAATAAAATTACAGTCCGCTAATGCTCATTACCTTCTCACTAGTTAAATGAGCTTTCCCATCTCCTCTTACTGGGCCTTGCAGCTATCAGCTGCTCAGACATTCCTCCACAGATGGCCACCTGTCCCTGTGCTCCTAGGTGTTCCACTGGCACGCTGGCGTTTTCCCCCAGAGCACTGAAGTGGATTTGCAGCCCCTGCTCCAATCTGTATTCTAAATTCCAGTCCCTCCCAGTCTACTTCTTCCTACTCAAGCTCACTTTTCAATCAACCAATTAATCACAAAATATACTATTAGGACTCAGAGAGAAACCTAGTATCTCGGACCCCTGTTTCCAATCCAAACTGATCAGATAATGAGTATTCCAGTTTCTCTCAGCCGGAACTGAAAATGTTATTCTACAGAGTAACGTTTCACTGTTTGGATTTGAAACTTCTCAACACTAGTTTTCAACTACAAATATTAAACACAGTAACTTTAATGCACACGTTTTGCCACTGTATCCTTAACACAGCTTAATTTCATGCTGTTCATTTCATCAATAAATAACAGGAAACCAATTATGAGAAAAATAACTTATACCTCACATTTTTAATTTACTGAGGTTTGAAAGAATTTACCAGGAAAATGTTGACTCTGAACTTTTAAACTTGGTTTTACTTTTTATTCAGCTAAAAACAAAGTTATATTCATTTATTTTTAAAAAATCAAAAGTCAGTACTGTGGTGAAATTCTAAACACCTGCAATAACACACAAAAATTACTGAACCTGCACATTTATACCCATCTATTCCTTCAGATATATCAAATTGTCTATGGTTTGGTATTATGAGAAAGTTGGTAGTATCCCTCTAACCTGACAGTTTTCAGGCAATGTTGAGAACTACCAATCAAGATTATACAATTCTTGTGCTAGCTCCAACAAGAGGCCCAGAGATCAGGATCAATCATGAACTTCTCTGATCTCCCATTAACATATCAACTTATATTTGCCATTCAGAAATGGTCTGTGACTAAACATCCCAAAACTTTTCAAGACTCTAAGGCTGTTGAAAAAAAAACAAAATTACTCTAGAATCCAAGAAAAAGTAAAGTAAGACTAAATCAGCATACTTGCTAAAATTTTTAAGGGAGTCATTGTTTTAAAGATATTAAAATATATATTTATGTAAAAGGACTAGACCAGAGACGGAATTTGGAATTCGACGAGATGGCCGGGCTGCCCCACAGGATTATCAAGGAAACCCAGTGATTGCTGGCAGAACCAGTTCCCGGAATTCAAGCAGAACCAGATGAGAGCAACACCCATTATTTTCATATGGTCAATGCTGGCCCCCAGGATTCCCCCTTTGAGGGAAGGACTTTTAAACTTGAACTATTTCTTCCAAAAGAATACCTGAAAGTAGCACCTAAAGTATGTTCCATGACCAAAATTTACCATCCTAATGTAGACAAGTTGGGAAGAATATGTTTAGATATTTTGAAAGATAAGTGGTGCCCAGCACTGTAGATCCGCACAGTTCTACTACCGATCAAAGCTTTGTTAAGAGCTCCCGAAATCCAGATGATCCATTAGCAAATGATGTAGCACAGCAGTGGAAGACCAATGAAGCCCAAGCTACAGAAACAGCTAGAGCATGGACTAGGCTATATGCCATGAATACTATTTACATCGATCTGATCAACAAGTATGCATGATTTCTCCTGTTCTGCCAAGACTTCTTCCCTTTGTTTGCATTTAATGGACACAGTCTTAGAAATGGTACAGAATAAAAGCCCAACGTCTTCAGTCCTTTGGTGATTAAATGCACATTAGCAAATCTATGTCTTATCCCGATTCACTGTTATAAAGCATGAGCAGAGGCTAGAGGTATCATCTGGATTGTTGTGAAATGTTGAAAAGCAGTGGTCCCTCTCTGCTTTTATTCATTTCCCCCATCAAGATTTAAGTACCAAGCACTGTGAATGAAGGTAGTTGTCAGAGTTAGCTGCAGGGGTATGGGTGTTTTTCTTTATTTTATTTTTTCGACGGGGGGAGGTAATTTTAATTTTATGGCTCCTTTCCCCCTTTTTATGGTAATTTTAATTACATTCAAAAAGCAGCTAACCAGTTCTTTAGAATATGCTCTTTGGCTGAGTCTAACTTTATTTAGACACTGTAGATGGACAAGCTTGTTTGAACCAAAATGGGAACATTAAATAAATATTGTAGTCCTCACTAACACCATTGTGACTTTGCTGTCAAATGTAGAATCCTTCCTTGAAGAAAAAGCTTGTGACCATTTTGTATAGCTTGTCTGGAAACTTCCATAAATCCGATGTTTTAGTAAAGTATTTTTTTGTTATAAAAAAATGTACTTCTATAAAAGATACTGATTTTCTTATGCAAGATGTAACCATTGAGGAAAACTAGGTGAAGAGTACATGGACTTCTATATACTGTTTTTACAACATCCTATAAAGCTAGTGATTTCAAAATAGTTTTTTTAAAAAAGGACTTACAAAAAAACACTGATACAAATAGCAACATTAATAAATCTCAAAATCCTCATGTTAAGTTGAAGAAGCCAGACACAAAAAACATTATACAATTCCCTTTGTAAGAACTTTCTGGAAGACAGAAGGCAATAGTAGTCGCCTGAGGCTGAGGAGTAGAAGTGAGGATTGACTATAATGGGCACAAATAAACTTTTTCAAGTCCTGGATTGTGACAATAGTTAGCCAAATTTACTAAAACTATACACTTAAAAATTGGTGAGTGTTACTTATGGTATGAAAATTATACCTCAAAAAAGCTACAGAAAAAAGGTTAACAGTAAAATCTAGGTGACATATATTTGGATGTTAATGTAAAATTCTTTTAACTCTGCTGTGTGTTTGAAAATTACCATAATAAAATATTGAGCAAAATTAAAGTTTTCATAAATTACAGAATTAGAAATCAAAAAAGCTGTATTTTTTGTGACAACTCACAGTTCAAGAAAGATTTAATAAAAAGTCAGTCAATAGCATCCACTCAGCTGATGTATGTACATGTACCATGCTGAAGCCTTTGTTTGACAGTGTGTGGTGAATAAAGGGGCCCCGAGATTCCAATTCCCAACCAAAGCTGTCTTTTTGGACACTATTTCAAAAATCCACAAGTTCCTGTTAGGGAAGTTGGTTATTTATTCAGGCATAGACTGGAAACACAAACACAAACATCTTACATGTTTTAATCACCACATGAAGAAAATCCAGATTTCAGCTTTCTGTAAATTATAGTGTTGGCAGTATCAAAGTAACCAAGAAACAAAACTTCATCAGTTTTTACATAAGAATCACAAATTTTCCACAAAAAATTCTCCATGAGGTTCTTTAAAAGAGAAATATTTAAATATGGTTATGTGCATGTCAAGATCATCTTCCACATGCCTTTGATTAGAATCAAATCCACAAATACCTAAGTATTTTATCAGACAATCAACAAGAAATATTGAACTGAGGAAGAAAAATAGACAACTGAAACTTTTTAATCATAAAGAATAATACATGTGTGGAGAGAAAATATCTTTGTGCTTATACATTTTCTAAGATTCCTATACTTATTATTGTATTTATGCATATCCCAATTTTAAAGAGCAAAGTAGTCTCACTAGGCCTTAAAAAAATAAAGGTGCTTTCACAATATTCATTTTTATTTTCCTAGTTGCCAAATTCTATACCAAAGGTGTACTCCTCTTTACAAACTTTCAAAGGTAGTATGTGTAATATGGCATATTTATTAGAAACTATAAATATGTAAATAAAAATGTCAAAAACTGTTAGAATTAAACTGAATGTTTCTAATTTCAGTTTCTCTAACTCCCTAGTATACATAATAAAAGAAGGGAACATTATACTTACAACTGTACCTGGCAAGAGAAATATAAGTGATAAATGGGGAGAGCCAACAGGGACCTTTTCAAAATGGACTTATGTTAATACACATTTGCCTTTCAAATTTATAAAATGAGAGTGAGGGAAGGGACAACAAATGTTTTATCTATTCATGACCCTTAAGCCTTACAATATTTAGTAAACTATGAGTTCTGTAAGTGGCAACAAGTGAAATATAAGATACAGATTAGTCTGCTTCATCAACAGTATGATTAAATAATCACGTAAGAACTAAGTCAAGAATTTACCTTTGTGCTGGCCACACCAATCTCGGGCCCGGCATTAATGTGGACCCCACAGTCTGTCTCCCTTGATATGGAGCTGCCGACGGTGTTTGTGATCCCCACAGTTAAAGCTCCTCTCTCCTTACAGTAGCGAAGACCCATCAGGGTATCTGCTGTCTCACCTGTGTATACAGATGGGGTAACACATACAGGAGTTAATATATGCTGTTTCTTAGATGTAAAAATGAAAAACTAACTACACTTTCAACAAAATCATGTGTTTTAAATAAAATTTAAAACATGCACTTAAGAAAAACTAGCAAAACTTTAATAATAGGATCCTACTTTTTAGGATCTTCTTCCCTTGTCTTTGAAAATTCAGCTCTTTGGGTATAAAATGTGTTAATTTTACTAATTCATTAAGAATTACATAATATCAAAATAAATCTCCATTTGTCAAGTCATTTGCAATACCATTTTATCTTTAAATATCAATTTTTGCCAACATAATTATTAGAAAGAATGACTTCCCGTTTCTTTAAGTCTTTAAAATTAGCATACCTGACTGACTTATAAAAAAGCAAACGTCATCTCGAAAAACTGGTGTGTTTCTATCCAGGAAATCACTAGCTAGCTCCACCATAACAGGCAACTCAGTCAGCTCTTCGAGAACTTGACGTGTCTGTAAAAAAAAATTACTTGTTCAAACAACTTTACTTCACATATTCTTTTTCATGAGCCTTCTTTAGACTCAACATATAGTTTTTACTTTTTCTGATTATAAAAATGAAATGAAACATGTGCATTGTTAGAAATATAAACAATAAGATTAAGTATAAAAATAAAAATTCTACCACCCAGAAGACAAGCACTGTTAAAATTTTGGTTCAACTGGGAGAGGGAAAGGAGAGAGGGCAAGAGAGAGAAACAGCGAGGTAAGAGAGAAACACTGATTGGTTGCCTTCTGGTACGTGCCCTGACCTAGAATCAAACCCAATGACCTTTCAGTCCACAGGACAATGCTCCAACCAACTGAGCCATACTGGCCAGGACCCAATTCCTAACCTTTAAATGACAATTCATATAATACTAAGTTACTGAGAGATTTCAAATAAGATAACAGATATATAAACACCCAGTGTAAAATTAAACAGTTCAAAAATACTATGCATTTGTAAATAGTACCATTCCAAAAAAAGGCATTACTCTTTTAGAAATCTTGTTTTAAAAATCTCACTACTGTCCTGGCTGGCATAGCTCAGTGGATTGAGTGCGGGCTGCGAACCAAAGTGTCACAGGTTCGATTCCCAGCCAGGGTACATGTCTGGGTTGCAGGCCATAACCCCCAGCAACCGCACATTGATGTTTCTCTCTCTCTCTCCTTCCCTCTCTAAAAATAAATAAATAAAATCTTAAAAATATATATTAAAAAAAAAGAGTCCTGTTTCCTTTAAAAAAAAAATCTCACTACTTCCAAATTTTATAGTATGGAAGGTAAAGTAGGAGGTAGTATGCTTCTGGTCGAGGAGCACCTTAACATTCATTTTACTAAATTTCCATTTGAATTAAATTCCTTTTATTCTAAACATCAGAAAACTAAAAACAACAGAAAAATAAACTTTTAGGCAGCAAAAACTTTAGGCCCTTCAGTTACATACATTTAGTTGTTTAATAATAACTGTGTAGACCACCTGCTTCTTTAGGCAAGTGGCCCACTTATCTTTTGCTGCATCTCTGCATTATTCCACCTACAGAGCAATGAAGAACTGTGAAGTTTTCCTTGTTCATGTCCCTTTGACTTTCAGGCCACAAATGTCAATTGAACCATTTCGTTTTATCTATAGCTTTGGTTTGACACTTTTTTTTTAACTGTTGTTCAAGTACAGTTTTCTGTCATTTACTCCCATCCCAGCCCACCCACACAGCCCTCCCAACCTCCCTCACATTTCCACCACCACCCCCTAGTTTTTGTCCATGTGTCCTTTATACTTGTTCCTATAAACCCTTCCCCTTTTCCCCTGAAATTCCCTCCCCTCTCCCCTCTGGTCACTGTCAGCCTGTTCTCTATTTCAGTGTGGTTTGGCACTTTTTAAAAAATGTTATAAATCATATAATACAAAATTTTCAATAAAAAATATTCCTATTTTTAACTAACCTTTTCCATTGATACATTTTATTTACCAATTTTACATAAGTAAATTACTGACACTAAGGTGTTATATATTTTCCCTTAAACATAAATCAAATTTTCCTGCCCCAGTTTACAATATAAATGTTACACTAGAATTATATTCTTCAAAATTAAAAGAGAAAGATACAAATCTGGCAACTTACCAGATATTTAAAAATAATATACCTCAAAAAGTAATCTCAAGATATATCTGTGCCAATGAATGGCCTGTTCTTTCAGTGAAGGGAACTCTTTAGAAACAGAAGAATATGATGACATATTTCATCATAAGAGACTAATTTAATGTTAAATTCCATTGTATACCACAGGAAAAACCAAAAAGACAATCAATATTTTGAAAAGCAACCTATACTTAAGAGTGATTTTAGTTGACTGTTACTATGTCAGACACATAGTATATATTGGGTGGGTCAAAAAGTCCATTTAGTTCTTTCTGTAAAATAAAAAACACGTTTTTCATTTTCACCAATAACTTCATTGATTTAGATATTTTGAGGTTGGCTATCTCCTGCATGGTATAACGTTAATTAATTTCTCAGTTTGATCATTATCAACTTTAACTCGTCTACCCAACTGTGGAGCATTATCCAGCATGAAATCTGCAGCACGAAATTTTGCAAACCACATCTGACAAGTTGGAATGTCAGTCACAGCACCTTCTCCATACACTGCACAAATCTTTTTATGCATTTCAGTTGCATTTTTACCTTTCTTGAAATAATAAAGCATAATATGCTGAAAATGTTGCATATTTTCTTCCATCTTCAATATTAAAATGGCAACACAAAAATTCACCAATTTTGCAGTGTTTTTTTAATGTACCCTGATATGACAGCTGTCACAATACAATCTAACAAAATTGTTTCCAATGAAGTTAAAGACAACTAAGCACTACTACAGCCATCTTACAGAAAAAACAAATGAACTTTTTGGCCAACTCAATACTAAAAAGATATGCAAATGTGTCATTCACATTTGACCCACCAAAAAATAAAAAAAAGAAATCTACACAGAATTAAAGGCAATATTTTGTATGATAAATTATGAGATTTCTAATGCTTAACTATAATAGTCTCAGCATCCACAAAAACAAAAACAAACAACTTACATCTTGTCAAATTTCAGAATTAGAAAAGTCTAACATAACAGAGCATACAACTTCTATCCCAAAATTCAGGCTTAGTATTAGATATAACATTTAATCAAACTTATTTCTGAATAATGGGCTCATTTAGTAATAGACATAAACTACCACTAAATTAGCCAATTCCTTAATTTATACTGCTTTTAATTTACTGGGGTTTTTTTTGCCATGCTCAAAACAATCACTTTTTTACAACTTTTCTCTTCCATACTGCAGACTTCCCTTCCATACTGCAGACCACGTAATTTTGTATGTGGGGGAGGGACAGGGAAACAGGGGGGAAGGTAAGGACTTCAGAGAAAAGTCTGTTGAAATTTAAGGGTGGGTGACCAGTGTGTTTTACCCACTAAATGACTGACTCCCACAGTCATTTGTTATTTAGAGATAACAAATATTTATGCCCCAGCAAGTAAAAAATTTCTATGCCATGAACTTTGGGAATCATAGTGAAAGTAGCAATGTAAAGAGTATGTAAGGGCCTTCTGTACTTTTATGGAAGTTGACATCAGTAGCACATAGACTACACATGGATCTACTTTATTGGTCTAAAGGTCCGTACAAGGTCTGTCCAGAAAAAGTCCAACCATTGTTAATATAACGAGAATGGTTTGCATGGCATTAACATAACCTGGCAGTCAAGGGGAGTGGAATGCACTGTGCACTGGAATACATGTGCACTGGAATGCACATGCGTGAACAATGATGACTTCACTGTACTAGTCAGTGGGGGCCGTAGGTGCCACTGAGTCAGCATGTGTACTCTGTGGCTGTTGCATTTAAAATGGCTGAGAGAGGCTCTAGCCATGTAGTTCAGTTGGTTAGAACATCATCTGGATATGACAAGGTTGCCAGTTCAATTCCTAGCCAGGGCACATAACAAGAATCAATCAATGAATGCACAGATAAGTGGGACAATAAATTGATGTTTCACTTTCTCTCTCTCTAAAATCAATAAATAAAAACAAACAAATAAATACATTTTTGAAAAACAACTGAATGAGTAGAGCAATGAATAAGCATCAAATTTTGCATTAAGTTTGAACATTCCTCCATGGAAACTATTTGGATGATTAAGAAGGCTGCAGTTAGGGAACTGGTGATTTGCAGCTTCATCATGACAATGTACCCACTCATACATCATGTCTCGTGCAGAGTTTTTGGGCAAAACATCAAATCACCTAGTTGACTCAGCCCCACTATAGCCCAGATTTGGCACCCTGTGACTTCTGGCTTTACCAAGACTAAAATCACCTTTAAAAGAGAAGAGATTTCAGACCATCCATGAGATTCAGGAAAATACAACAGGGCAGCTGATAGCGACTGGGAGAACTGTGTGAGATCCCAAGATGCCTACTTTGAAGGAGACTAAGGCATCATTGTCCTATGTACAATGTTTCTTGTATCTTGTATCATCTTCAATAAGTGTCTCTATTTCCCATATTACATGGCAGGATACCTTCTGGACAGGCCTCATATTCCTGTTTCCACACTGACAACCAACACACTTCTTTGATACAGAATTCTAGCTTCCAAAATAACAATTTAAAGGAAAAAAAGCCTGACAAAAGGCAGATTTCCTTTCCCTGTAGAAATATGCCTGCCAAGTAGAATCCTATTGAGGTTCACACATGGTACCAGCCATCTGTCTGGGGCAAGTGAACAATGAGAGGCGAAACTGAATGACTGCTCTTATAGAAGCAGCCATCTGCTCTTATAGAAGCAGACCATGTGCACTAGACCACAAGTCCAAGACAAAGCAAAAAGTTTTCCTCTCTTTGTTTTTCACAAAATCTGTTGCAGGCATTCTACCTGTATATCTAAAGACTTTTCCAAAGCAGATCATTTTTAAGTATGTTTTATTGATCATGCTATTACAGTTGTCCCATTTTTTCCTCCCCCCTATTCCCCTCCACCCTGCACCCCTCTTCCAGCATCTCCCCACTTAGTTCATGACCATGGGTCATACATAGAAGTTCTTTGGCTTCTAAATTTCCTATACTATTCTTAACCACCCCTATTTATTTACTTTTAAAGATTTTATTTATTTATTTTTAGAGAGAGGGGAAAGGTGGGGGAAAGACCGAGAGAAACATCATTGTGTGGTTGCCTCTTGTGTGCCCCCTAATGGGGACATGGTCTACAACCCAGGCATGTGCCCTGACTGGGAATTGAACCTGTGACCCTTTGGTTCACAAGCTAGCACTCAATCCACTGAGCCACAAAAGCTAGGGTCCTGTCTATTTTGTACCTACTAGTTGTATTTCTTATTCCCTATACCTTTTCCCCATTCTCCTCCCTCCCTCTCCCTGCTGATAACACTCCATTTCTCTGATTCTGTTCCTGTTCTAGTTGTTTGCTTAGTTTTTCTTTTTTTAGGTTCAGTTGTCAGTTGTTTGAGTTTTTGCCATTTTACTCTTCATAGTTTTCGATCTTCTTTTTCTTAGACAAGTCCCTTTAACATTTCATATAATAAGGGCTTGGTGATGATGAACTCCTTTAACTTGACCTTATCTGGAAAGCACTTTATCTGCCCTTCCATTCTAAATGATAGCTTTGCTGGACAGAGTAATCTTGGATGTAGGTCCTTGCCTTTCATGACTTGGAATACTTCTTTCCAGTCCCTTCTTACCTACAGGGTTTCTCTTTTGAGAAATCAGGTGATAGCCTTATGGGCACTCCTTTATTGGTAACTGTCTACTTTTCTCTAGCTGCTTTTAAGATTCTCTCCTTATCTTTAATCTTGGGTAATTTAATTATGATGTGTCTTGGTGTATTCCTCCTTGGGTCCAACATCTTTGGGACTCTGAGCTTCCAGGACTTGCCTGTCTATTCCCTTCGTCAGATTGGGGAAGTTCTTTATTTTTTCAAATAAGTTTTCAATTTCTTGCTCTTTCTCTTCTCCTTCTGGCACCCTTATGATTCAGATGTTAGAACATTTAAAGTTGTCCCGGAGGTTCCTAAGCCTCTTTCTCAATTTTTTTAATTGTTTCTTCATTCTGTTCTGATTGAATGTTTATTTCTTCCTTCTGTTCCAAATCGTTAATTTTAGTCTCAGTTTCCTTCCCTTCACTGTTGGTTCCCTGTAGATTTTGCTTTATTTCACTTCATCATATAGGCTTCACTTCTTCCTTTATTTTGCAACCATACTCAACCATTTCTGTCAGCATCCTAATTACCAGTGTTTTGAACTCTGCATCTGATAGGTTGGCTATCTCTCCTTGTCACTTAGTTCTTTTTCTGGAATTTTGATCTGTTCTTTCATTTGGGCCGTATTTCTTTGTCTTGACCCACCTGTTATGTTGTGAGAGGTGGAGCCTTACATATTCGCCAGATGGGGCAACCCTAGGGGTGTGTTGTGGCACTGTATGTGTGGGAGGGGTCAGAGAGGGAACAATTCTGCTTGCTCGGCACTCACCCCACTTTCTATCACTTCCCCTATTACCCACAAGTAAATTGCACCTTTATGGTGCTGATTCCCAGGTGGGTGGCTTTGTGTACATTCTAGGATCCTATAGGCCCCTCCAGCAGACTCTCCTGTGAGACTGGGAGTTTCTCCTGCTGCCACGACCACCACAGGTTTTTTCAGCCAGGGGTTTTGAGGATTTCTCGCACTGGAACCCTGGGTTGCACAATCTATCACACTTCCCAGTTGTTCCTCCTGGTTTATCTACACACAAATGTGGGAATACCCTGTCTGCCAGTCACCACCTCACCCTCCTGGTCTGCCAGCTGCCACTCATCGTCTCCACCTAGCTGCCCATCTCCACCCCTCCTACCAGTCTGGATGAATGTTTCTTCTTTAACGCTTTAGTTGTTAGACTTCTATACAGTTTGATTTTCTGGCAGTTCTGGTTGTTTTTGTTTTTAAATTGGTTGTTATCATTCTTTTGGTTGTGCAAGGAAGTGAAGCATACCTACCTACGCCTCCATCTTGGCCAGAAGCTCTCTAAAGCAGATCTTCCATTAACACATAATTCTAAGCATCTATTAAAATTTCTCCCCTTAACCTTCTTAATTTTTGTCATGCAACATGAAAAGATAACGTGATGTTTTAACAAAAGATAGTTTTACATGGTATGTTACTGAAGGTATTACTTATCTGCAGATATTGTCTAATACCAAACATAACACAATTAAGATTTTAAGAAGACACTTACTGCTACACCAGCATGATAACTTGTTCCACAAGCAATGAGAATCAGACGCCGGCACCGCTGGATCTCTTTAATGTGATCCTTCAAACCTCCCAAATTCACTGAAATCAAAGTTCATGTATATAATTATTTAGGAAAGACCCATATGAAATAAGCAATCATTTTTTATAAGTGTCCACTACCAATATGAGAAGCAACAGAATTTTAAAGAATTCATATTCCTCTTAGGAGCACAGTTATCTATAGTTTGTTCATTTGCTTTTTTTCTTAGTTCTCTACAGTGTTGAAAAATAAGTAAGATACAATTTAACTGGTCTCCCCAGACTTGTAACTAACCTTACTCACCCCCTCCCACATGCCCACATAATTATAGTATTTATTATTCTTTAACTTGTTTGGTCATTTTTACATTCCTTTCTTTAGAATAAAAGTTATCGTACAGGCAAAACTACAGGGACACAGACAACAGGCAGTAAATGCTGATGTCTCGAGGTGGGAAGGGGCTGACTACAAAGGCATCATGGCATTAAGACTATATTGTGGAAGTTTGTTGAATATCACTGAATTATACATTAAGAACAGTAAATGTTATATCTAATTATATCTCAATAAGCCTTCTTAGGAAAAGAAAACTGTCTTAGTTATGTTCATTTGCCCTATGGTACCCAAAACAGTGCTCTGAATATAACATAAACCCACTCTCCTCTCCGTGTCTTCCATCTCATTCCCCTACCATGAAAGTCACCCTTGTTGCTCCTAACCTTCCTCCACATCCCACTCCACAAGCAAGTCCTGGGAGCTCTACCTTCTATGAGTACCTCTAATACCATTACCCTAGTCCAACATCTTTCCTCTGGATAACACATTCTAACTGTTCTCTCTTCTGTCTTCCACCTCCTACAGCCCGTTCTCCACACACAGCCAAAATGATCTTTTAGAGCAAGGGTGTCAAACTCATTTTCACCAAGGGTCACATCAGCCTCGCAGTTGCCTTCGAAGGGCCGAAATAATTTTAGGACTGTATAAATGTCACTACACCTTAACTGTTAAGGAGCTGAAATTACATTCAGCCCTTTGAAGGCAACAGCAAGGCTGATGTGGACTCCCGTGAAAATGAGTTTGACACCCCTGTTTTAGAGTGATTCTTTAAAAACATAAATCTGATCTGCAAACCCTCCTGATGAGTCTGTCCTCCTCCTTATTCTGTCTCTATAGCTATGTACATTTTCTTCTAAGGGTACTTTGTCTATGAACCCTTCTACACAGGCTAGTTTTCTACCTGTGAGAAAATTTCATTCAATCATTGAATTAGTATTTATTGAGCACCCATCAAGTGACTGTCTAATGCACTGTGTAGCTGCCAGACCTCTCTATTCAGACAGGTCGGAGTCCAGCTGAGGAGACAGCTGTGCGCACCCAGACAGCATCCTCCTGCATCCAACTCGCCGTCAGTCTGGCCTGTTTCATCCTTGCTCATCATCTCCCCACCCTTTTTTCTACCAGGGTATATGTTTTTGCTTTTTATACTTTTGAGTAATTTTATGTTCTTCATTTTATATATATTTCTTCATTTTAAAAATGAGTAAAGTAACATAAAACAACAACAAAAAAACTTCCCTAGCTGCCCAAACACTATCCAATCCTGTTATTGTGGATTTTAAGTCTCCGCATGCCCTGTCTCCTGCTTAACTCTCACCTAATCTCCCAGCACTTGCCCTCTTACCCAGGCTACATCAGCCAAATTGGCCTTCTGGCTGGCACCAAACCAAGCCTGTTCATGAACTTCTGCCTACAGTGTTCTTCCACAGACCTCAGAATATATTTAAAAGGTTTGGGAAGAAAGGAAAGTTGGGTCAGGGTTGTGCAAGGGCAAATCAGTTTGAAGATGACAGAGTGTAAAAGCAGACAGACTGTTGGTGAGTCTTGTATTTCAAATGATGATCAAGAATGACAGGGAGGTAAAGTGGTGAGATTAACTCATCACAAGTGTTTCCCCAAATTCCCTGTGCCTGAGGAATGTTTGAGGTAGCCCTGAAGGAGTTGCCAAAGGTCAAAATCGATGATGCTTTGGAGAGAAGCCTAAGTGTGGTAAGGCAGGCCCCAACTACTGGAAGCAGCAAGAATGCCTAGAGAACAGGGGCGGGGATGGAGCATACTGGGGAACACTAGTGAACTTAGGAGGCTGGTCTGGCTCCATAAATGACTAGTGATATGACCTTTGGCAAGGCACTGAAATTGACAGAGCCTCTATTTCCTTAACAACAACAACGACAATAACAACAACAAACAGCTATCCTGTTTACATTATAGAATTTTTATGAGAAACATGCTACTGATAAAAGTGATTTTAAAATCATGATTTCTCAAAGTTTGTCTCATTCTCTTCCCTTACAAAAATTTTTTTCTTGATCTTACTCCCATAAAGACTATAAATACTCTCCCATTTCTTCCAGCTCAACCATCTTTAATAACCCCCTCTCCCCACAAAGGCAGATACAGGTCCTGGTTTTGACTGTTCCTGTTTTGTCTCTCCTGGTCCCCACCTGCCTCCCCTTGTCCTTCCCTATCATTTCACCCCAGGTAGGATAAGATCCTAACTGGCAACTGCATCTCAGCCACTCGCTCCTCCAATGCACACTGGAGAGTAGTACCCAGTTCATCTCAGAAAAGCTATGTTCACCCCAGGCTCCTACGTCTCTCCTAAGTCTCCTAAAAGCTCTTCAATTTCTACAAAAGGAGGTACCCCCAACACATATCCCCACATACCACATTAGAATGCATTCTGGGCCCTCCTTGGCAGTCCCTCTCACCTTCTTTCCCAGACTGACTTACTGATATTTACTCCTCTTCAAGCACTAGATAGGGTAGACAAATGAGGCTACATATTATTCCACAAAGAGCTTTCTAAGAGTTTCCACTATATCTCTTAGCTAATACTATTCTATCCCATTTCAGTGGCTCCATCACATCTTCACCTATTCAAATTTTCCAAATCTCTTAAACTGACACCTGCCTACTTCACGAAGCCCTTCTGGCCCCAAAGCCCCTGCCTACAAATAGATTCACTGTCTACTTTCTCTAAATTCAACATTAATCTTTATTTTTTTAAACTTTTCTTTATTTTTGTTTAAGTACAGCTGTCTCCATTTTCTCCCCACTACTCCCCCACATTGGAGCCATCCCCACTTCCCACCCTTGATCCTACCCTCCTTCAGTGTTGTCCATGTGTCCTTTATACATGTTCCTGAAAACCTTTCCCACTTTTCCCCCATTACCCCCTCTCACCTCCCCTCTGGTTACTGTTACTGTTAGTTAGTTCTTAATTTCAGTGTCTCTGGTTATATTTCGCTTGCTTGTTTGTTTTGTTGATTAGGTTCCACTTATAGGTGAGATCATAATGGTATTTGTCTTTCACCACCTGGCTTATTTCACTTAGCATGCAGTGTGGAATTTCCTCAGAAAACTAAAAATGAAACTGCCTTTTGACCCAGCAATTTCACTGCTGGGATTATACCCTAAGAACCCTGAAACTCCAATTCAAAAGAACCTATGTACCCCAATGTTCATAGCAGCACAATTTACAATAGCCAAGTGCTGAAAGCAACCTAAGTGCCCATCAGGAAATGAATGGATCAAAAAACTATGGTACATTTACACAATGGAATTCTGTGCAGCAGAAAGAAAGAAGGAGCTCCTACCCTTTGCGACAGCATGGATGGAACTGGAGAGAATTATGCTAAGTGAAATAAATTCAACATTAATCTTTAAATATTTCAACATTAAACTGTTTCTAATGCCATTTATCACATTTTACCTTTCCTTTAAATAATTAATTATATATTCATCCCCCTTCTGGATTATAAGAACCTCATGGAGAAGACTACATCAAAGATAATTCTCTATAGTCCCTAATATGTTCAGCATGGTGCTCTGCACATAGATGTGAATTCAATTCATAATTCAGCCTCCAACAAATCTCTCCTGCTGAGAAAGAATCTGATACTGCTCAGAAAAGAAAAAGATATAAAGACAGCCTTTCTTCAGAGAAATCATTCCCTAGCAATTAATAGGACTTGATATGAAGGAAACACTGTTGTACATATAATACGCAAATTCAGAGAAAAAGATCTTTGCATGCCTGCTCTCATTTTTCAAAAACTAATTTCCTAATACTGAGAAGCTCAGTCCAAAGCTTGTTTGTTAAACGTGTCATGATGAATAAGTAGTGTTCCAAAAACCTAACTTAGCAATAAACAGTTTATGGATATCTTATGACCACAGACTATGGATCTTTAAACTCATCTCAGTAAGGTGCCCAAGTCCTGTAGCACAAGATCTGGAGAGAATTTCCAGAAATAAGAGCAGGGCTGCACTTTCACCTCTATTTGATAAAAGCAAGAAAGTACAGACTATCCCATGAGGCATCAGACAAACACCTGGAAAAACCTCTGGGGAAGTTTGGACCTTTACTCATTTATAAATTGAGAGAGAAACCCAGGTAAGAAGATACACATAAGTTTGCCAGCAAGGGGACCAATCTCATTCTTATAATTCTCAGTGCCTGGGACTGCCCCTAGAATACAGCAGATACCCAACAAAGGTTTGTTGAATTGAAAAGAAATTATATGTTTTTAATGGTTTTTAGCCCCAAGAAAATCACCCTAATACCCCCATAACGGACAATAATTTTCAAATGTGACCTTCTAGCCATTTTTTAATATTTTTATAACCATTTTATTGAGATATGTCACATGCCATAAAATTCACCCTTTTGAGGTACACTGTGGTTTTCAGTACATTCAGAGTTGTGCAACTGTCACCACTATCTAATTTTCATCATCACCCCCCCCTCCCAAAAACCAAAATCATTAGTAGTCACTCTCCATTCCCCTCTTCCCTCAGCTTCCCAGCAACGATTTTTTCTTAATCATAGTAATAAATAAATGTTGGGATCTGTCCTGCCTGGTTTCAAAAGCTATAACCTCACCAATAGGTGAAAAAGCCCCACAGCTAGGGGACCTTGGAACCATAAGCCACTAAGGAGACAAAATTTATCCTCCCAGCAGAGGCACAGCCTCTGCCCCCTTTACTTCACCCTGCTTGGCCTCTGGAGGATGCTTGGGTAGTCAATGTCGAGTAAGATTCCTTAAGGAAGGAACAACCTAAGGCAGGCACAGTCACAAAGGGGCCACCAGGGAAGGGTTTAGGGGATTATGGAGGAGGGACAAAAGACCCTCACCCCTCGGCTTTGCCATAGCCTGAGTCTTCATTCTATCTGTAAGAAGTCTTATAATCTCTCGGCTGCTTTGTTTCCCCTGCCTGACTCAAGCCGGAAAACTTGCTGGAGGGTGGTACAGCCCTGTGCCTGAATGGGTGGTTCCCGAGGGGCAATCAGGCCTGAGAAAGAATACATTAAATCCTGCGAAACCTGCTTAAGAATGCCCTTGATTTACATGTTAAGGGTCCAAACACAAAATGAGTTTCTTCCCAGCTTTTATGGCCCATTGGCATCACTCTGTCTACCAGAACCTGACTCAAAAGGACCCCTGTGATGCTAGAATGTTATCTGTTAATCTTATCTCCTTTCTTTGAACACTACTGTCTGCCATTGATTGATGAGCCTTACATGCAAGCTCTGTATATCTATGCCAACTAAACTCAATAAAAGCCCGTTAAGAAAGAGGCTTGAGGCCCTTCTCCTCTGAGAGATTGGCCAGCCTTTTTTCCCTAAGCAGATCACATCTTGGTAGATTTATTTTACTTCTAGGTGGCTGGGAGAGCTCTGCTGGTCAGAGTTCACACACAAATAAATAACATAAAACTTACCATTTTAGCTATTTTAAAGTGTACAGTTCAGTGGCATTATATATATTCACACTGTTGAGCAACCATCACCACCATCCATCTCCAGAACTTTTCCATTATCCCAGACTGAAACTTTGTGCTCCCCATTCCTCCTCTCTCCCTAGCGCCTGGTAACTACTACTCTACCTCCTGTCTCTAAGATTACGACTATTCTAGGTACACCTCATATCAGTGGAATAATATACTGAAGGACTTTTAAAAGATGAAGCTGTATATTCTATAAGGCTATAGGTCAGTGAACTTCCAGGCTATCAATGCCAACACCCACAGGAGACTTTGAAACAATAAAATAGTTCATATGTAATTACCAGTATAGTCATCAAAGTTGACTCTTCCTCTCATTGTGTTCACAACTGACTCTGGCTGCTCGAAAATTTCTTTCTGCATAAATGAACTGAAATTGCCTAAAGGAATATAAAGTATATCAGTAAAACAAAAATTAACAAGCTGAAGAATAACAAATTTGTACAATGCTTTACATCTATCTCCATGAAATGAAACAAAAAGTCATGCAATAGAGGACAATGTTCACATGTCACATTTTACCCTATGTGAAGAAAAATGAGTAAAAAGGAAAAATCATGTAAAATATGCAGTTACAGAAAAACAGTGGAGCTGGACAAGGTCAAGTTTTGGATTCAGAACTACGTTCAAGTCAAGGTTCTATCCTTATTAGCTAAGTGGCTCTGGGGAAATAGCTTAATCTATAAAATAATAACAGCAGCCACCTCACAGCATTGTACTGTGAATGTGTGTATACAGACCTGACATACAGTAGTTACATAGTAAGTTAGTTTTTATTCCCACCAAAACTCCACCAGAAAAGAGAATGAAAACTGTAATTACAATAACTGTAAAAGATAAGAGTGGTAAACACTACTTAGAGCTCACTGTGTCAGGCACTCTTCTAAGGGCTTTACATAGATGAGCTCTCTCAATTCTCAAACAACCATAATGAGGTACATCCTATTATTCCCATTTTACATATGGCAAAACTGAAGCACAGAGAGAATAAGAGAGGAACAAAAACAGAACACAAACTATGTTTATGAAGTATCTTTAAAAATCAAGTACTATTTAATGACTCTCTTTAAAGTTAGAAAAAAAAACACGAATTAGTCTGAAGAGCTATGGTAAAACTAGCAGAAAATTTCTTCAATGAATCATCCTTTTTCCTGGGATTATCCTTCACTAATCACATGGAAGATTTCACTCAGCACTGTGTTATCAGACTCCTGCACTAAGACAGAAGTAGAATGTGCCTTTCCCATTAGGGACACCCAGCTATAACATAACAAAAACTTTCACCCTTCATGATCTGCTGGAGTTCCATCTGGAGGGTTTGCACAGCTCTTCCAGGGTGATCGCCTGCAGTTCGTTTAATTCGATGGATAGAAAGACGGCCATCCACCACTGCTGCTACATCATCGTCTTCGAGAAAGATGACGCGATTGGTGTGTTCTATCACAGCACTATAAAACGTTGAAAGATTGCAATCAATATTCAAGGATGATTATTACAAATACAACTATCATTAGGACACAAAAACCAAATTTAAATACAAACTCTATCATCCTACAGTATCTCTGATAGCTTTCCAGTTATCAATGCCACTCCCGACTGGGGAGTAAGGGTGAAGGGTAGTCACTGCCGGCAATGAATAAAAGGATCTCCATGCAGCAACCTAAACCACATTAGATCTGAAAGAAAGCATGTTTGTTTCTTCCTCATTCTATCTCCAAGTACTTCAATTTTAATTTCCAAACATTTCTCAAAGCTTCAATGTCCACCCTCACAAACCAGTTCAAGCTATCATCAGCTTTTTGCTAAACTAGCACAGAAACCTCCCAACTTGTCCACCCACATTCCCTCTAATCTCCCTCCATCCATCCTCCATTTTTCTGCCAAAATGTATATCAAAAAGCAACTCTAATCAGGGTATCTCCTCACCCAGCAACCCACATGAAGGCTTCCCTTTGGCTCTTAGGAAAACAACCAAACACACAACCATTACCCCTATTCTCCTTCCCTAGCCTCATCTCCCACCAAACTTCCTCTCTTTATTCCAGCCACACTCCCACCCATCCCAAACTCTCATAGGCTGATCAATCTGCAGAGAATCAATGTTCTTTCCTCAACCTCTTCACCTAATTAACTCTCAATATCTCCTGAACTCTAATTTCAAGCATCATTCCCTTAAATTAATCCACAGGAAGGTAAATCATGCTTTAATAATCATTCTGTAGCTCTCGTCACAGCTAAAATTCTACATTTGCGTGACTATTGATTAAAATTTGTCTCCTCCATTAAGAAAGATGTCTTTAATGACATGAAATTTTCTTTTTACTCACCGTTAGCTCCTAAGCCCAGCACATGCTTTGCTAGTGTTCAGTATAAAAATGTATGAGTGAATGAAAAAAGGCTAAGATGTTTCTGCAATTTCCAGTTTATTTAAGCCATAACTGTCAACTCTGTAACAACCCTACTTAATGACAGCAATGCCACATCTTAGCAGTAACTACACACCTGTGAAAACTAGAACACACTGAAGCTTGTTTCCCACTGAGATAATACATTCCCTGCAGTCCCAAACTGCATCATTTTTTCCCTTTCAGATCTCCTTACTTACAGGCACCCTGAATGACTCAAATACTTATTAGCAATTTGAATGATTCCATTTTATCCCCACTATTATTAGTATTTCATTTATAAATGCATCTAAACATCCCCCTGCATTTTTCTCTCAAAACCTCTCAGTCTAGTACTATTTCCTTTGTAAAAGTGGTTACGCTGACAATTAACTTCTGCATTGAAAAAATCAGTGTCTACATTATTTGAAAAGTACAATGGTTTAGCAACTATACTAATTGGTGGGATACTAAACTATATATAACTGATGGGACACTGAACTATTCAAATCTCTGAACTAAAATTTCTCCTCCCTCTAAAATGTGGATAAGGCTCCTAAGAGGAGAGGGGAAAAATGCAAGAGCTCAGAGTAAATACACTATAACAAGTCTCAACTACTACTATCTGTTCTTTGTAAACTGGCCTATATGCTCTGAATTGACAGAAAAAGTGTTCTTAGAACCCATCTCCAGAAAAAGGTCACCTTCACTTCCTTAATGAACAAAGTTCTCTTATACAATAGGACCAGAATTATACAAAATGACTTCTTGGTTTCCTGCAGCCTGACAAGTTTTACTAAAAATTCTCTTTGAATCAGCTAAGGAAGCTCACCTTGCATCAGAAGCAAAGTAATACTCCACTGCTTTTTCTTCAACAGGGAAAAGGCAAGTTGTGCTGTCCACACGCGAGAGATTGCAGCTTCCTTTCTTATCTTTGCCTTGAACACAGAGTTTACAGAGTGGGCAGACACAGAGAAAACCATGGCAATTATGTAAATATACATAATTTTATACAAAATCAAAAAATACCATAGCAACACAAAATAATTTCAGCAACCTTTAAATGCTAAGAAAAAGGTAGATTACCTGATTTCCATGCAATAAGCCAACAAGAACAGACAAAAAGCGTAGAGTCAAATAGCAACTATCAAAGGGAGAATGGCAGATAATGGTGCTACATTATAAATATATTTAATATAATATTTTTCCAGGTAAAAGGCAAATTAATTCAATAACATCACTCTTTTTAAATAAAATTTATATATAGTCTAATCTTAATGGAATACATATAAGTTTGTATACCTAAACTCATAAAATTACATTTAAAATATCAAAATTGTATACTGAAAAATAAAATGAAGACCAGTAGATAGTAATTTTTACCATCTAATAACAAAATTTCTCTAGATTTTAATAGTTAAGCAGCATAACAAATCAACTAACTATAATTTTTTTCTTTTTATTAAATTTATTGGGGTAAAACTCCACCAACTGTAATTTTTTTTCTTTTTATTAAATTTATTGGGGTGAAACTCATTAACAGAATTATACAGGTTTCAGGTACACAATTGTGCAACACAACATCTGTACACTGTGTTGTGTGTTCACCACCTCAAGACACTAATTGTAATTTAAAAACAAAACAAAGATACTTATAACTTTCCACCATGATATATCTATCCTATGTGGCAACAATTAATACAGAGTGAAAATATTATAATATAAACCCAGATTCTCTTCTTTCTTAGAGTTGAGTTCCTGAGATTTCTTTTAAGTTCATACAAAGTATGGTCCACTTGCAATAATAAAATCTTAATTCTACCACTTAGAATTCTGGCATTTCTAGTTAATTCATCAAGTCATTGATGAAGATATGTTTTTCGTTTTTGTTCATTCATAATTAAAGTCAAAACTGGAAAGCAAACTATTAAAAAAAACTGGAGCACATACTGAAATTTGACAGATTAGCCAATTTTTTAACTCTATTAATTGAAGACCTTATTATAAATGTCAGAGACAAAAGAGCACCTTCTCCAAGATCAGGACATAGTGGACCTTATAACCTATGAACATAATGGCCAGAGAATATCACAAATATACTTGTGAAAACTTATGTTAATCCTCTAAGATGCATATCTATAAAGACTTGGAAATAATTATTCTTAGAAACATACATCCAAAGTTCTTGACAATTCATGATTATTTGGTGTAGTTTAGTCATGAAAACAAAACAGCTCTTCCAAATTCAATGGCAGAAAAAATACCACACTTTTAAAAAATAAATATTAGGTAACATCCTAGAAAAGACAACACTTTAGAAAGAACAGATCAGTGTTTGCCAGGGGCTGGGAATGGGGACAAGGGTTGACTACAAAGTGGCAGCTGGAAAGAACTTTTCAGGGGATGGAATTTTTCCGTACCTTGACTGTGATAGTGGTTACACAACTGTTTGCATTTGATAAAACTCAGGAAATTTTACATGAGAAAGAGTGAACTTTACTGTATGTAAAAAAGTGAATGAAAAATAGGTAAAAAAAAATAGCCCAGTATCTACATTTTTTAAATAAACACAACCAGCTTTGGTAATAAAGTACACTAACGGGACTGAGTTTCAGTATATTCTTTCTCCAAATATTGATTATTTCATTCTTCAAGCAACAAGGTATATTAATCACAATATTTAGAAGAAGCTGAGGTATCATTGCCAATTTAAATGAAAAGAACAGTATTACTTAACATCTATATGACTTTTAAAAGCTATAAAATGTCTATTATCTCATCTGATTTAAGTGGAATATAATTATTATTATCCCACTTTATTTGGTCACCTGGAAAAATAGTAAAAGCCTGAAGGGCAATTCAGGGTTCTCCCTTTTATGCAACCTCTTCAATAACAGGTCAAACTTTCTAAATTAAACTCTGTTGAGCTGCACACTGGAGCAGCTAGTAAAAGCTACTAAAACACAAACCCTGACCTCAGAAAGATCTGTCTAGTGATAAATTTTTCCTCTAACTTCTTAAGACCTTAAGCCAATGTTTTTTACTGTTTCTAAAAACAAATAAATAAATAAATAAAAGCAGCTTAACACAATGTACAAGGTAACATATAGGTAATGTATACACAGCATAATTATTAACAGAAATCTGAAACTCTGGATCCAAAAATCTGTACTCTCACTTGTAGCCTTGTTTTTCTTCTGAAAAGGGAGGGAGGAGGATGAGGAAGATAAGAAATTGCAGTATCTCAGAACTACAGGTTATTTAAGGAAATAACTTTCTCATACAGATAAAATAGTGAAAGCAGTCACTATCCAAAGATGAACAGGTTTAGAAAACTTTGCTAAATACTTTTCAAGAAATGAAAAATTATACATTAAAAATATGGGTTCTAATTCCCTGAATTTACTTTTAGTAACAAGTAAATGGAAAGAACACATCTTTTGCCTAATTATATCAATAAAATGATACAGAGTTTGTATAGATAAAAGTCCTATAAAAATTCAAACATAAATTTAAAAAGAACAATAATTATAAATACAAAGCCAATCAAGATATTGAATGTAAAATTAAAAAGTAAAATGTCATGCATAAATAAAAACCATTAAAGCCGACTATGTCAGTTAAAAGGCTGAATTATTCAAACTACCACTGAGTCCAATCTATAACAGCCTAGACACAATGCTCTTTTCTTCATCTAGAATCTTATTTATAATTATGTACCCTACATGATTTCAGTTTAAAACAAGGGAAAAAACTATTTTTTCAAATCTCAGAGACTACAGAGAAACAAATTACTGAAAGCAGTTTTCTAAATGCCAAACACAGACAGACAAAATATGCTTTGCATATTAGAAAAATGTCAAAACGTTTCCCCATAAAATAAGCACAATTTTAGAGGCCCAGCACATTCATTCACTCCAAGAACAAAGAATTAGTAAAGGATGAACAAAAGAGGATAAGATTCCTCTCCATCCATGCAGAGTGCATTTCCCACCTCTTTCTCCCTGTGATCCCCACCGTGTGAATTTTGATCCAATCTGAGTCCTAGCTATGGATATACAACAGAAAAAAAATTCTACTTGTCAGAGAAATCACAAAACAAATCCTTTTCATGTCTAGACAGAACTATATATGAGTAAACCTGACCAAAGAGGCATTTATTTCAATTTAGAGAAGACAATTCTTTATATCTACTACATTCAATTTATACATTATCCCCATGGCAGGATGTAGGAATAGTTTTTACCTGTTCTATAAAGTATTGGAATGTGATCAGTAGAGAGTTTATGTTCACTTCGTACACCAATCAACAGAGGGCTACCGCGTCTGTTAGTACAAAATTAAACAGAATTAAAACCATTTTTATAAATAACACATTAATGATATAAAATTTAAATGTGATGACAGAACACTCTTCAAATAAAGTTTCAATTCTCTCTCCAAGCTCAATTTCAGATATAGCAAAAGGACAATATAAACAGAACTTTAAAAGAATATTCAATAACAGAGGTAGGTAAACTATGACCCACGTGGCAGGTCTGTCTATTTTTACTGGAATACAGACATGCCCATTCCTTTATGCATTTTCTACAGTGGTTTTCACACTACAAGAGCAGTGTAATTGCAACAGAGGCCTTTTTAGTGAAGGGTCATTTATACTGTATAGAAAATAAACTTACAATTGAAAAGTTTTAAAATACATATAATTATTAGGCATTATTGAATTTATATATACCTTGTGCCAACAGCTTGGCCAGGAAAATGAACACTTTTAAATACAAGTGCAAAAGCACCTTCCTACAAAGAAAAAAAATGGATTAGCAATACATATGATAATCAATTATCAGATATGAAATGTCTAAAACATACTGGCTTTACCACAGAAATTTTTTTTTACACAAATGCTTTTTTGCACTAGTTTATAAACTAGTCTAAACATCAGGCCCTGGCCAGATAGCTGTTAGTCACAGCATTGCCCCAATACACCAAGGTTGCATGTTCAATCCCTAGTCAGGGCACATACAAGAGTCAATCAATGAATGCATAAATGAGTAGAACAACAAATCAATGTTTCTTTCTCCCTCTCTCAAATCCATTTTTTTAATTTTAATTTTGGTTCAAAGAGTTTATTTATTTATTTTTAGAGAGAGAGGAAGGGAAGGAGAGAGAAAGAAACATCAATGTGTGGTTGCCTCTCACGTGCCCCCTGCTGGGGACTTGGCCTGCAACCCAGGCATATGCCCTGACTGGGAATTGAACCATGACCCTTTGGTTTGCAGGCCCACGCTCAATCCACTGAGCTACACCAGCCAGGGCTAAATTTTAATTTTAGAAAGATACTTCTTCATGAGTTTTGGCATATCCAAGACCCACTTTTTTACCAAGCCTATTCTTTAAAATAGGCTCAACAGATAACAGTGCCAAAAGAGACCATTTTAAAAGTCACCTTTGTACATACTACCAATGCTTTTCAATAAATACATCCTATCTCCCATACCATATATTAGTAAAGAAAGGAAAGAACAAGGAAAGTTCCCAGGTTCAATATCCAAAATCCATTCTCTGGCCCAGTCATTTTATACCACTTTTAACTTACACTCTTCGACCTTGATACTGGAGATAAATATATACAACCAAATTATTAACATGCACACCATACCAACCCCTCTACCCAACCTCCTCAGGGACAGGCGCTAAAGAAATCAAGAATGAATAAAGAAGGATCATGAGGTAGGAGAGGGAAGGAACCACCACTTTTCTCTTGGGCTGGGAAATATTTTTCTGTAGAGGCACAGAGCCAAGTAAAAGCCCCCATAAGGAAAAATAAGGAGTGAATTATACTGACTCAGAAACATGCAGACATTATCCTAAAAGCTAATCTTGCTAAGTTATTGACTGGGAAGAACAGTGGAGTGAGCAGGAAGCAAGAAAGTGATGAATCCCCAAGTGTGTGCATTGCATGTATGTTTGGTGTGGTATGTATGGGTTTGTGTGTGTGCATGCACAGTTTTTGGACAAACTGTTTGATTTTAGATTACTTTTAGTTCCCATGATACTACGCTACAGTGAAAGAAGAATTTTAAGTGTATGTGGGAAAGGAGAGGTCATCAGTCACACAACAATCTCTCAAAATTATTCAAGTTGAAAAGTTATATACATGGGAAATAAAAGCCAAAATATTTTTAAATTAGCATAGTTCCTGCTCCTCAAACTTGATTTTAAGGGTTTATTGTGATTAATGTTGGCAATAATTATCTTTAAAAGTGTGATTTAGAGCCTGATGGTTACCAGGGGAAGGGAGATTGCGGGACTGGGTGAAAGAGGTGAAGGAATTAGGTACAAATTCGTAGTCACAGATCAGTCCCAGAGATGTAAAGTACAGTATATGGAATATAATCAGTAATATTGTAATGACTATATATGGTGTCAGGTGAGTACTGAAAATATTAGGGAGATCACTTTGTAAAGTATATGTTTGTCTAACCACTATGTTGCACACCTGAAACTAATAATAATATTGAGTGTAAAGGGTAAATGAAAAATAAAATTTTGTTTAAAAGCATGCTTTAATACCAATTGTTGGATAACTCTCTCCACCAAGGTAGTAAAACTGGTATCTTGACTTTCCCGATTGTCATACATGTACTTAACAAGCTTGGCAATTGTCTCTGTGTCTGTTTCAGACTCAAAGTCATAGCCTTTGCTTTCCTGTAATTAGAAAGAAGAAAATGACACATTTAAGGAAATATTCATCATATCTAAATCTTTTCTACAGAAGTTTCCCCCAAAAATCTCACCAACCAATTTCTAATATTTTTTTGACCACCGTACCCCACTAGTCACTGTTGAAAATTAAGGTTACCATCTAACTATAGTGATTTCAAAATAGTGAGATATTCTGTGTAACTGAATATACACTTATAGTTACACAAATCTATATATGCCATATATGAATTAAACAACTTTTAAATGATTAAAATATAATGAAATATTTAGTATAAAACACTAATTCCATAATGAATATACGGTTATACCTCAGTACTCGTTGGCTTCAGAACTTGTCAAAACCTGTACTCATCGCATTTTGATGAGAAAAGGTATTTCAGCATTCAGTGCTTGCTTGGGACTCGATGCGCTTGCTAGAGCTTGTATGAATCACGCCACCCAGCAAGAGAAAATGCTTCAACAGCACTCGTCACGAGTTCCGAAATGAATTAACGAGTACTGAAGTACCGCTGTAATTCTTTATTTAACAATGATATTTTATTATCCAATACAGAAGTCATTAGATATATCCAACTATTTAAATTTAAATTGATTAAAGTGAAATAATTTCCAATTTAGTTCCTCAGTCATACTAGCTCAATAGCCACATGTGGACAGTGGCTGCTATACTGTGCAGTACAGATACAGAAGGTTTCCATCACTACAGAAAGTTCACTTGGACAGACCTGAGAAAGCACCATGAAGGTCATCATCATGATCATTACTGTACAGTACATAGTTATGGAGGGCACAGAACCTTCCTTTAATCTATCCTGAGTCTTCTTACATATTCTAGAATCTTTTAAAAATTACAAACAAGGTCTCTCACAATGCAAAACACACCCTCGAAATTCCAATTTTATTTTAGCTTCTGGGCCATTCATAACAAAGACAAATAATTATTTCCTCTTCGTATCAGAAACAAAAATGTTCCACTGACAACAAAGAAAAGTCCAATAAGCCATCATATCCTCGCAACTGTCTTACGAATTACTTGATCACACCTACACAGTACTTATTGTACATCTCAACAAACAACCTCACTGCTGTCACTAGGAGTATTGTCAAAGACTGGTGTCTTTTTTTTTTTCTTTTAATCGTTGTTCAAGTACAGTTTTCTGTCCAGACTGGTGTCTTTTTAGGTCACTTTACTTACCAAAAACTTTTTCAAGTCTTTGTAGTTGGTGATGATTCCATTGTGAATAACAATAAATTCTAAAAGAGAGAAAGATATTAATAACCAAAAATTATAGGTCTAGTAAACATTATAAAGAGCCATTACTGTTGTTTTTTCTCAAGCCAAAAGATGTGTCACATTCTATACTTCAAGGTGTGATCAAGTATTTTCTACTTTTCATTACTAGATTACCTTCAGGTTGATCAGCAGTGCAGTTTATGTGGCTTAGTGGAAGCACACAATGTGAGGAAATATAATAAACTGGGGTCTGGAGTCATCAATTTCAGTTGTGGCTAAACTACTAACCCCTGACGTCACCATGTGAAAGAGGCAAGTTCTCAGGGCTTACATCCTCATTTGCAAATAGAGAGGGCTGAACTAAATAACTATTATTCTCGGTTCTTTGTTAATTCATTCTTATTGCATAAAGCATTCCTAAATTTAAAGAGAAGCCTTTCAAACTAATATAATTATCTGATTTACACTAAATGAGTTTAAGAACTAAAGTTAGTTAAGTTAAAAAGAAATCCAGACATTATTCAGTTCTATAATTAAATTTATTTTTCTGAGGTCCAGATAAGTCCTAGAATAATAAATCTTAAAACAGAATTCCAAGATCAAATACATATGAAAATAAGATATTTTCATCTTTTTTTATTAACTTGGAAAAATGTAAGAATGGATAATCAACTGTAGACATTATTACTTATAGCTACTGACAGTGTACTTAAAGACTACTGAAAGGAATTTACTATTTAAAGTTTATGTAAGTCAGGAGGGAAATTACCACTAAATTTGATTTTATATTAAATTATAAAATGTTTTAAAAATACTTAACAATCTAACATTTTGACCTAATGTTAAATGAGCTTGGATTGAATGCATTACAAACCAAATAATAAAATAAGCATTTTGACAAGATTTTTAAGAAAGAAAAGATGATACCCCACAATACTACAATAAAAAAACTCAAAAAAAATTTTAATGCTAGAACACAGAGAATCTTAAACAGCTGATAGCTGACATAAAGACTTAATTAAAGTCAAATTCACAAAATATAACTAGATATGTTTTTAGGAATCTTTTATAAATACCTTGTCAGAATTAAATGAGAGACTGTCAGCATCAATCCCATTCAATAATATTTCTCAATTAAATTGTAAAATCTTATCCCAAAAGGGATACACACACACACACACACACACACATTTTATATATATTTGCTTACTTTTAAAAACAACAGACTCAAAAAAAAATTGCTACATGGCTATCTCCAGAGAAGATAGAATAAGAAAAATAAGACAGAAACTAGATTTATTTAAGATGCCTTTTTTATAGGTGTGACCTCAGAAATATGCAAGTATTTTCTTTTTAAATAAAATTGATTTTTAAAGAAAATCAATTCCTAAAATTCAAAATAAAATAAAACATATTAACAGAATGCTGTATCAGTTGGTAGCACAACCATATACAGAAGGATTATTCTGAGTGATTCTGAAACACAGTAATTTGATTATGTATCCCTAAAGAGATATAACTAAGGACAAAAAAACTAACAAGCAACAGTAAACATATTCTTATGGTAGCGTGGGTATTATGATTCTGTTTAGTGTATATCATGTAACAGATAAATAAATATGTTACTAGTGTGAAGAACTATGTTTTAGGTGTCATTGAAAGAAAATACATAGATTAATGAGGTAAAGTAAAAACCTTACAGCCTTGAATCTGAATCAGAAGTGTTAGTGTAAAATTATGTTGTGTTTTACTTTAAATTTATACAAATGCAAGTGCACTCACAGAGATACATGTATCCCCTAGCTCTGCCCTCTGAAAAGGCCTAAGTGTGATAAACACTTCTAGGACTTGACTTATAGTGTATCATTTCCACTAAAAGGAACTAGTGCTCCTTAGGGAAATGGTTGATTCCAGCTCTGGGGCAGGCGTAGAGGAATGTGGAACATCTTGGCCTACCAGAAAATAACAAAGGCTATTGAGCCTACCGGGCCACATCAAAAGGACTCAGAAGCCAATCTGAATAAGCTGCAAATGGCCAAAAATTTTTGTTTATCTATATAAACAATTATAGACAATTACTTCAGTGTTTTGAAACAAATGAAATTACTTCAAACCCACAAGTTCATACTTTTAAATTTCACAATTTTGAAACAAATGAAATATTTTAAAGCCATGAGTTTATAATTTTAAAAGGAACTCACTGCTCATTTTAGAACATGTAACCCACTTTATTTTTGAAAAATAGTAAATAAAAGGGGAAAAAAATCAAGCATTAATCCTGCCTTTCCTATATACTCTGTACCTAAGGGTAACCAAGCAGTTGATAATGGAGAAGTTTCTCTTTATAAAAGTATTTGAGATAATAAATGAAGAAGGAATGAAAGTACTGTATTAGACTCTCACCAATTTAAAACCCCTAAAGAAATAATTAATCTTGGCAATGACCATCAATGACTACTGACAACACAAAGAAAAACATCCAAGATTATGAGAAGAAAAAAATTCTGAGATGTCCTAAATTAAATTACAGCAGGCCAGAGGGAGTTAATCTGCTAACAGAGACAGGAGCAGAAGTCAACAAAGGACTGCTCATTACTTTGAGTTGACTTCTAGGCCACTGTTTCTGCTCTTATCTAAAAAGAACAGCCCATTAACTACCAGAACCACCACGAACTTTTCAGGCTGTTGCCCAGAACCAATCCAAAAGCAACAAACACTTCTCCCTTATTATTATACGTATCCCAGAACTAGCCCAACTTCACCTATTCCTATCCCTGGGCCCTTATCTATAGCCAATGTAAATTCTTTCAAAACAACTTACAGCTTTCTTCTCCAAACTCCATGTATAAAAGAGCCAGTCAATCCCAGGATGGCAGACTTGTTTGTCTTCCCAACTAGCCCTGCTGTTGGTGGTTTAAACTCTATGTCCCAAAACCTGGTCCTTTTTCTGCCAGTGTATCACTCAATAAACCTTTTATTTCAGAAAAGCTTTCAAGCTCATCCTGGTTGGCATGGCTCAGTTGGTTGGGCATCCTCCCATAAAGCTAAAGGTCACCAGTTCAATTCCCAGTCTTGACACATGTCTGAGTTGCAGGCCTGGTCCCCAGTTAGGATGTGTGTAAGAGGCAACTGATTGACGTTTCTCTCACACATAGATGTTTCTCTCCCTTTCTTTCTCCCACCCCACCCTTCTCTCTAAAAAACCAATAAGTAAAACCTTAAAAAAAAATAAGAGACTCCTAATTTCCCCCAACTGCCCCCAAATTTCTAGCTTTAAAAAAAGGAAATTTACAACCTTAAAGGTTATTAATTTAACAATTATATGCCCCCAGTTATAAATAAACACTATAGTAATCTGTAATAAATAGAACAGAGAAGCACATTAAATGAGCCATGGGATGCATGCGATCAACACAATCTAGACTGTTGAAACCTCTACATGACAACAGAGGAAACTGCAAGGAAAAAGGAGAATTCTCTTAAGAGACATGTCAACATACTAAGTCCTCACCTTTTAGAGATACAACACTTAAATATTTACAAATTAAGTGCTACAACAGCTAGCTATCTGTGATATGTCTGTCTATATGATATCTATTAGCTTCCAAAATAATCTGGGCGGGAGGTATAGATAAACATAACTGATCACATTTGATAAATGTTGAGTCTGGGTAATGAATACATCAGGTTCTGTATACTCTCTATATATGAATATGTTTGAAATTTTTCAGAATAATGAAAAATAAGAGCTTCCATTCGTTCTCATTATTGGCCCTCTGCAATCATTCCAAAGCACATACAACATCCGTACCATTGTTTTTATCGGAGCGCTGGGGGTGGCTATTGACAGGATTGGGTTCGCCATGTGTTGCCCAGCGCGTATGAGCTATTCCAAGGTGCACATCAAATTCGATATCCAAGTCCATATCCTGTTGTTCTGGAGATAAAACGAAAGATTCCAATATTAAATTACACTGTAGAAATAACGCTAGATTTAAATATAATCATTACAGTGCTGCTCAACTGGAATATACCATTATTAAAACTAAAGATCAGGCATACTCAAAATAGTAATTAAAAGATTTAGAGGAGTTAAAGCAGAATGCAGCTGAAATATTTAGGGTAAGTGGTTTCAATAACAACCAAAACAATGCACACAAAGAGATAAAACAAATGTGACAAAATTAACTACTGGTAAAGCTAGATGAAATATATGGGTTCTTAATGTAGTATTCTTTCAAGCATTCTGGAGGCTTTAAAATTTTCACAGTTAAGAGTTAAGTACAAAAAGAGTTAATGTGATTTTTAAAATCTATATTTAGTCCTTGCATTGATAAAAATCAGTATTGTTTTAACTAGACATGTGTAAAATAAATTCATTTTCTCAGTTCACACAACCTTATGACCATCATTTCTTTGGTTCCCCAAACATAGTCACGATCTAAACTGCAACCATGAAGAGTTCCCACAATCACAGAATAGGTCCTTGTGGACAGAACAACACTATTAAAACATGGGGTTATAAACCAATGCTACCTCATCTTGAAATCAACTATTCTAACTCCTTTTACCTATGAGCTATCTCTTCTTGCTTCTTCCAGGAAAAAAAAATGGACAGTTCTAGTTATTTACTAATAATGTCCCCCTTCTAATTTCCTAAATACAGAATTCATTTAGCTAAGATAAAACTTATCAGGTAACAAAACTTATCAGAATTAGGTCTAAAATAAGAACAAACTGCTCAGAAGTCTGAACAGGAAAGTTGATGCACTTTAGCAGAGTCTTTGTGGTTTTTATGCTGGCTAATCAGAGGTCACTCCAAGATACAAATCTGATCAAGAAATAAGGCTTAAAATCCTTGAACAGACTCCCATTGTTTTAAAAAGTGGTTTGCACCCTGACTGGTGTAACTCAGTGGACTGGACATCATTCTGCAAACCAAAAGGTCACTGGTTTGATTCCCAGTCAGGGAAAATGCCAGGGCTGCAGGCCAGGTCCCTGGTTGGGGATAGGCAAGAGGCAACCAACTGATGTTTCTCCAGGTTCCAGTTTGGGGGTGTGCAAGAGTCAACCAATCAATATTTCTGTCACACATCAATGTTTCTCTCCCTCTTTTCCTTCTCCTCTTTCCTTCTAAAAATAAATAAGTAAAATCTTTGAAAAAAATAAAAAGTGGTTTGAACATATGAGGGGGACCCAAAGAAAACTGGAATTACCTTCTGGAGGGCAGGCCCCTTATAGTACAGGCTTCCCCTGCTAGGTGAGTATTCTAGAAACATATCTGTATCAGTGTACCAGCTGGTGGTGTTGTGAGAGGCTGTGTTCGGCTTCAGTGAATTTTTTTTGTTTTTTTTGAAGACTTTCAACGTGTTTGCCCATTTCATGTTAATGTCCCTGACCACACCACTCTGAGTGTTCAGCAGTTTTCAGCCAAATACAGCATGACCCCTGTGTCCCACCCTCCCTATTCACCCAACCTCACCCCAAGTGATTTTTTTCTTGTTTCCCCAGATGAAAAAAAGCCCTCAAAGGGAAATGTTTTGCCAATGTGGAAGATATGAAACAAAAAATGGCAGAAGCACTAAAAGGCATCAAAATCAAGGAGTTCAAAAACTGTTTTGAGCAGTGGGAAAAAACATCTTGATAGGTGTATTAAATCAAACGGAGAGAACTTTGAAGGTGACTGAAGTTTAAACTTGTAAGAATATAAAATTTTTAATAAATAAATTCCAAGGTTTTGGGGGTCTCCCTCATATGAATCACCCTAAACCTAGTCAGAGGTGCCTGCAAATAAGATCCTCAAATTCTAACATACAACCAGAGAACCCCTTTCTCAAGATAGAGCCCCAGTACCTTTTCATGGCACATCTGTCCCCCATCTACCTTTCCATCCTCATTGCCTTCCCCTCTCCAATTACTCCTCAAAGCCCTCAACACACCGCCCTGACCTGTGTAACTCAGATATTTGACCATCATTCCAAAAAGCAAAGCATTGCTGGTTCAATTCCTGGTCAGGACATATGCTTGGGTTGCAGGCTGGTCACCAGTTGGGGCATGTGCAAGAGGTAACCAATCGATGTTTCTCTCCCTCTCCCACTCTCTTCCCCTCTCTCTATAAAAATAAATAAATAAAATCTTTTAAAAGCTCTCAACACACCTTTTACAAATACCAGATAACAGTTACTGAGTATTTTGTGCTAGATTCTCAAGGCTTTTCACCACTCTATCCTTATCACTGTGGTCCAAGCTACCATCATCTTTCACCTGAACTAATTCAATAGAATTCTAATTCGTTCCCCTATACCCAATCTTCCATCTGTACAATCTGTAATAGTTTTGCACACAAAGTAAAATGATCCTTTCAAAACAGAAGTCAGATCATGTCACTCTGCACAAAATTTCCTAATGGCTTCGCATGACACACAAAGTGAAATCCATCATCCTTAAGATCCCACATGACCTAGCCCTCAGTCACCCCTCCAGCTTCATCTCCTGCCACTCTCCCCCGCCCTTACTGTGTCCTAGCCTTACTGACTTACATCCATATGAGGGTCAAGCCCACATAGGTTCTTTGCACTTGGTGTTCCCTCTATCTAGAATTCTCTCTTTCAGACAATCACCTGCTCAAATGTCACCTCTACTATACTTTCTCTTCATATACTAATCAATACCTAACATTACATATTTGTTTGTTGTCTGGCTGTCTCATTAAACAGTAAATTCTATCACAGCAGCGAGTTTTGCCTATCATGTTCTGTTTTGTTTTCAGTACCTAGAATGATGGCTGGTACATGATAGGTACTCAATAAATATTCATTTGTTATTGAATCTTCACAATACTCTGTGAGGAGGGGTACTATTGTCTCCATCATACAGATAAAGAAATTGAGGCTCAAAGAGATCACAGAATCTGCCTGCCATAGTTCAAAGTGAATAGTAAGGAGAGAAAAAATTTCAACCCAAATCTGGTTGACTCCAGAGCCTACAATTAAAACCACCATGGTAAACTCTGTTGCACTATTACATGCATGACATATTGTCAAGCTGGCTTCCATCAGAACTTGAGTTCTACAAAAGCAGCAGCTTGTCTTATTGTCTTTGAACCCTAAGCACTAAGAGCTAAATAGGGCAGATACTCAAATCTTTATTTGATGGCTCCATCAATAAATAGAGTCAATCATCAATGTATTCTTCCCTGGCTTACCTGTGTTCTGAATAATTAAGATGGCCTAATAAATGACCTCCAGAAAAGTAAAGAAAGCTGTTCATCACTAGTTAACAAACTAATTCAAGCAATAAAAGCATCTGACTACTTTTTTAGGCTAACTATAATTAAAGCAATATCTCCCTCCACACGGTGGCAAGCAACACTGGAGAAAGAGTCTTTAACAAGAGTCTGTAAATTGAATCCATGTCAAGTTCATGGTAATTATCAAACCTATTTATTTCACTGTTGTCATGTTCCAATGTACCCATGTTCCTTATTCATTAAGCTGATAGATCATTCACTTCCCCAACGGGTCAAGACATCTTTTCTATTCTCCTTAAGCCTCAATTCTACCTATAGGCCCTCAATTTCCACTTCACTCAGCTTTTCCTGTTCACCTCCTGTCTGGCTTAGCTTTTCTTTTATCTCTGACTCCTATAAAAGGCTAACTCATGACCTATGCCTCCACCTATCTGAGCTGTAATTCTTCAATAATTTCCTTCTTTGTATCTTCTATCTTCCCACCACCTTCATGCCCCAAGAGTTTTGCCCTCTTCATACTTTTTCTCAGATGTCATCGTTCTTCTTTTTATTTTAATAGTTCAAACATTTATATTTCCTATCAATGATAAAAACTCAAATACCTACATCCAGAGATAACAAATGTCAACATATAGTCATTTGTGCATTACATCTTTTTTAAGACATACAATGTAAAAAGTCTTTAATTTTTGTCGCTCCTCAGAACAGCAGCCCCCTCTGCCTTTGCCCTAAACTTCATGACCTTTACTGCCAACACCACCTAAAAACAATACCTACTTCTCTGTCGATTTCTTCACCTGCAAAATGAAGATGAGAATTGTACCTACTTCATGGGTTACAATGAGGAATAAATGAGTTAATACACAGGAAGCACTTACAAGAGCACCTGGGTCACAGAAAGCAATCAATAAAAGTTAGCTGATTATCAAAGTCAGAAACTACCAATAACCTCTTCCTCAACAAATCCAAAGGCCTCTTCTGAGAAGCCTTCCTTCTTTTTTGACTGGGAATAATATAAACATCACAAACATCCAAACAGCTACACTCAAAGTTAACAAAAGTTAACATCTAACCATTTGTGCTTCAGATCTTTGTTAAGATCTAAAATGTAAAAGATGTGCTTGATACCTCCCCTTTGTACCCTGCCCCTCCCATTTCTCCCCAGGGGACTCTCAAGTTGATGGAGAACCTTCTCTACTGTGCCTTCAAATTTCTATTTTGCTAATATACGTCCATAAATTATAGTATTCTTTATGGGCTTTTTTGAGGTAGCAAATATTTAATGACAATAATATTGTAAACACGGAAATGATAAAAGCTTTTTACCTTGTAGGACATTCATCTTTTTTGTCAATACATAGTGTTTGTGTTTTTTAAATGGTCCTACACCCCACATATCCTACTGAACATTAGGTTCGCAGTAATTCTCCAGGTTCCCACATGCAGAACCAGATCCAATGCACTCCTTCCAAAAGCTATATATGGTCATCACTATCATTACAACTTATTATCCCCATTCCCTTACTGGTAAACATAGAGGTTGTTTGTAAATTTTGCTGCAATGACTTCTTGTCATGGCTCCATGCCTTTAGTATTTCTTTCAGGTATATGCCTAAGAGTGGAAGTGCTTGGTCACAGGGTATGGGCATCTCCCATAGAGACATTGCCAGATTGCTCTTCAAAGTGATTATCAATTAAGAATTCACCAACAATGTCTGCCATCCCCTACTTCTCCACTGCTTCCTGACCCTGCATGAAAAGAGGAGGTATGTTTCAATGCTGACATTCAAAGATGGTGACTCTGGCCACAACCTGCCTTTCTGGCCTCCCATGCACATCTACCAAAAATAAAGATAAAAAGGACTATCTAACCTGAAACCTATATAATTTTATTAACCAATATCACCCCAATAATTTTTTTTAAAAAAGGACTATACCATTCTATCAACAAATTCATCTTCCCTATTTTTGTCCTATGAAAGGCACTTCCTCACAAATTTTGGCTACTTCACTTTAGAATACTGATCTTGTTCTGAACACAGACGACCTAACTAATTTCCTTCCCTAATAAATATGATCATTTTTGAAGCTCAGGTACATTTTAAAACCAGGACAGACAATAACAAAACTACTTTTCTTCCCTACCTTCAATTTTAAGAATCAATAAATGGGACCCAAATATGGGAAGAAAGATAATTTGATGAGAAAGGGAGAAGGAAGAGAAGGGGGAGGGGCATAAAATCAAACTAAGTACATTACTGTGAACTTCTTCATCCAGTGCTTTCACTTTCCCTTTCTTCTTAATGAGCTGGATCTTGCAGGCATTGGCTTCCCAATCTTTGTCATTCCCTCCATCCACTCCCACACCTGAATCATCAAAAGGTAAAAGAGCAAGATTAAAAACTGGCTATTACTTATGGTATGAGGAAAAACTTTAAAATATTTTTCATCTAATTAATTCATTTACTTATCAATTCAATATATACTGAACACCTATTATAAATCAAGAACCAAGATAGCTGCTACGGACAAAAATGAAAATAACCCAGTTCCTGTCCACAAATTTCTAATAGTGTATTGAGAAGACAAAAAAAAATAATTACATACAGTGTGGTTTTAGGTTATAATAAAAGTATTACAGGTTGTAATTGGAGTATAGTAGAGAAACAGAAGATGGGCACCCACCAAACAATTGGGATAAAGAAAGCATGTCAGAGAATACTCTCTTGAGATTCTACTTAAGATCCTAAGCAATCTGAACATTATTCTGAAGGTACTGGAAGGCAGAGTAATTTCAAGTAGAGAAATCACATGGCAAAAACGTTCAGAAAAATCTCTAGAAACAGTATAAGAGGATATAGATTGGAGCAACAGAAAGAAGAAACCAGCTCAGAAGTTACAGCGTTAACAAAGCACAACGGAAAGGGCCTTAATTAAACAGTGGGCATGAAGATAGATATGGGTGATATTGAGTAAAAATGACTGAATGTAACATGAGAAAGTGGGAGAAGTCTAGGATACCTCCTAGGCTCAACCAAAGGGACTTGGTAATCAAAGGCACACAGAAAGAACTGATTAGAGAGTGGGGTGAGAAAAGGAGCCCCCAAAGCAGAAAGAAAAGAAATAATCAGCATGTAAGGAATACAATGAGATATGCTGTCAGAGAATCTAAGGAAGAAGGGGAGAATTTTAAGAACAAAGTAGCAGCGAAATTGACTTTCCATTAACTGAGGAACATCATGGAAGACAAATGCCCATTTCAGCTGGCAATGCTAAATGTACAGAAGAGTTAACAGGGCAGGTCTGCCCCGTATCTTTCAAAATGTCGGCTCACGAAATTAGATCTTGGATTTCAGGAGGGTTCCTACCACCCTAATAAAAATAGCTCACTGCACCTAAACCGCTGGCACAACTATGTGGCTTATGCTGAACATCTGCCTCTCTTCTAGGAGTCTACAATTTTGGTATATTTTAGACAGAGAGTGTCTACGTGACCAGCCCCCAATGAAAGCCTTGGGCACTCACTTGCTAATGAGCTTCCTTGGTAGACAATATTTCACACATGTTGTCAAAATTTGCTGGGGAAGGTAAAAGCACCTATTGAGACTCCACTGGGAAAGAACCCTTAGAAGCTTGTGTCTGCTCTCCTCCAGACTTCACCCCATGTGCCTTTTCTCTTTGCTGATTTTGCTCTGTATTCTTTTGTTGTAATAAATCAGAGCCCTGAGTACAACTATATGCTGGATCCCTTCAGGAAATAATAAAATCTGAGGGTGGTCTTGGGGACCCCCAATACAGCTAAGGAAAGGAGCTAGAGTAGAACATAAAGTTGACAAAAAGACATTTTTATTTGCTTTGTAATTTATGTAAGGTAGAAGACTCTTAAGTTCATATGCTAAAATATCTGGAGAAAATTCAGTTTATAGTAAAGAAAAAAGATAATTTATAAGATAGGCCTTCAAGATCTTTGTTCTACCAACCATGTAAATGCTCCAGATGATTTATATGTTTATACAATAACATTCTTAACATAAGAAGATACCCATTAGAAGCAATACTCTACATAAAGGATAATACTATTGAAATTACATAAACAAAGCCTTTAAACATTCTAACAAGACAAATATTCTTCATATTTTAGATTTGCTCAAAACAAAACAAATACTACTAAAGAATCTAGTCACCTAATACAAAAACTTTTCTATTTTGATTCAAGAATCATGCAAACCCATAATATTTTTTTAAAAGGAAATACCAGCAGAATCATATCCTCTGTATTCCAGTCTCTGAAGGCCTTTGATTAGGGTCTCCAAGATTTCTCTTCTTGTTCGAGGAACATGGTAGTTTAAGTAAGCGAATATACCTGTAAATAAGCAAATATTTAATAGAAAATTCTGTCTAAAGAAAAATTAACATAATTATGATAAAATCTTCATTTGCATAATTATGTGTAAGATGTGCAAAATGGAAGCTTAGAGTCAGTCGTTAAAAGAGAAACAAATCTTCACTTCAAATTGTCTAAAGGCAGTGAAATTTTTTCAATAGGGGATTTCTCCTCTATTACAGGGCTAAAGCAAATATGTCAAAATAAATGTTTATTTTTTTCAAAGCAGCTTATAAGCTGGTCACTTACTGTCCATCACAGCTATTTTGTAAAGTGATATTTAATTTTTAAAAACTAACCAATCAACAAATTTGTGGCTTATGTTATAAATACTTAGCATTATATTTAAAGAAAAGCTTTCCCTGAAATAAGTATTTTAAGCTACATATGGGCCCTATACAACTAGACAGATGAAATAATTTTTCTTTTTCCTATGACCATGTTATCAATAACATTTAGGAATAAGTAACTTATAAATATCAATAATATGAAAAATACTACCTAAATAATCTAATAATAGGGGCACATATTAAAGTATATATACATAATCAATTTAAAAGAAAATGGCCTGAATCACTTGTTCACCAGGAATCATATAGCTAACAACAAATAACTGCATTACATGTTTACAACTCTTAAAAATTCCTAGAAAAACAGTAATTTTGAAAGACAAGACTAGAAATAAAACAATTAGTACATGTGAACTGAACCAGGCAAGCCAAGAGGTAGCAAATAGAACACAGGTAAATAATATTCACATTTTAGGAACAGCAGGATGGAAATTATCTGAAGCCTTCCATTATTATGCTTTGGCCAAGATAGAGAGAGCTGAAGACCAAAATATGAGAACACATAAATTCATTTATGTGTTGCTTATTTATGAAAGAATTTCCTTTTTTTTCATACTATACTGCCAATGAATCATAGGGGATTAAATGAATTCTGTGGAGTAGAACTCCAAAACAACTAGTCTTTATTTCTATTTGAAAAGATCTCTCTATTTCTATAAATATTAATAGTTTGGTCCTATTGAAGCATTTCGGCATACAAAAATACCAAATTGTTAATATCCTACAAAGCAGCCATAATACATGTATGCTGAGCACTATGATCAGTACAGCCCAATTTTTTTCAAAAAAAAAAAAAAAACTATCATGACCTTAAAAAGGAAATCCATGTTTTAAAACTAAATCCAAAATAACGTGAAACAAGTGGTTAAACTTCCCCCAAAAAGGAAGCATGAGACCTAGAACTTATAGAAATCCTGTACTTCATTCATATTAAAAAAAAACGTACAATTGTAAAGGTTTTGAAGTTACTATACAAGCATCTTATTTTTGCAACACCACAATCTTACATGACATCTGGCATTTTATTGTTACTACTGTTCCTTCATAAAATATCTATAATATGAACTAAACCAACAACCCAACTGTAAATCACACCTTTATGTGTTCTACATTTATTCCCCCATGAGTCACTGACCTTTGATAAAGACTAAACACAGAAAAGTGTCAGTCCCAAATAAGTATTTTTATTAGAACACTGAATGACAATACATAAACTACAAATCTTTTCCCAAAATATTACCTTAATATAAATGTGCTAAAGAATACTAATTCTCACTAGTCCACTCTCCGCCACTGTGACTAGCTAGCATTAGCTAAACAATCTGCTATAGGAAGACACAACCTAAGTCACCTGAAGATCATTAACTAATAAAACATATTACACTGTCAAGACTTGAGAGTGTAATACATGTCTGAGGTACTCTGGAAAGCCCTGAAGAGCTGCCAAACCCCAATAATTCAGCAGAACCATAGAAATTCACTACTAAATCATCTTACTTGTTTTCACCCATCTTTCTTAAGTGTATATATAGCTCACATTTAAATAAGTGTATGTATAGCTCACATTTACTTCAAAGTTTAACATTATAAGTATCTTGGATCTTTATTTAGAAGTTTGGTGATGTAACTGTGACCAGAAATATGTCATAGGAACTTAACTGTTGTTTGTATCAACTAGCCTGTGGTGAAACTGCTTTCGTTATCCATAGCTTCACTTACAGTCACAGTTTCCAGGAACCCATCAATGACACTGAGGATGTACAATCTAGTTAATAATTAAAAGCAAACTAACATACAAAATATGAAGACATTTTTCTATAAAATCATATTATTGCACCTAAGAAGATAATGTTCTAATGTCACCTAATACAATGTTCATATTCAAATATTCCATATTATCAGAAAAATGCCTTTTACAGCTGATTTGTTCCTTCTAGGATACAATAAAGGTATGAAGCTCACATCTGATTATGACTCATGAGTCTCTTTGAGTCCAGGATGGTCTCCCCTACTGCCTTGTTTCCCCCAAGACATGGACTGACAGGCTGTGGCCGATTTCCTTGTTAAATGTCTCCTGCTATGGCTGTGTCTAATTGTTTCTGCATACAAGGGGAGACCCAAACATCTCTGCAATTTATTTATTTAAAAAACTGTGTATATATTCTCACATGTTTAAACTTCAGTCACCTTCAAAGTTCTCTCCATTTGATGCAATACACCTATCAAGACTTTTTTCCCACTGCCAAAACAGTCTCTGAACTCCTCGATTTTGATGCCTTTTAGTGCTTCTGCCATTTTTTGTTTCACCTCTTACACACCGGCAAAATGTTTTCCTCTGAGGACTTTCTTCATCCAGAAAACAAACAAAAAAAAGTCACCTGAGGCAAGATCAGGTGAATAGGGAGGGTGGGACAAGGGGGTCATGCTGTTTTTGGTCAAAAACTACTGAACACTCAGTGCAGTGTGTGCAGGCATGTTATCATGAAATGTATTAAAAGTGTCTTCAAAAAAATTCACTGAAGCCGAAGGCAGCCACTCAACACCAGCTGGTGCATTGATGCCAAGGGGTTCCTAGAACACTCAGCTAGTGGGGAAAGCCTGTACTACAAGCAGTCCAACCTCTAAAAGATTACCCTGGGGTGTTTTTGGGTCCTCCCTGGTAGTGTAATCTAACCAGTTTCACTATTCCTTGTATTTTCTATAACTGAAAGATAGATTTAAGGGGCTTGATTGAATTAGGTTAAAAATTTGGGGCAAGAATTATTCACAAGTAGGTATGTGTTTCATATTGTTTGTGATCACCTACTAGTGATGTTAAGATTGATCATTGGTTTAAGATAGAGGCAAAGACAGTCACTTAGCCTGTGATATTCTGAAAGCACCTGCAAAATACTTTCTAGGGTTTTAGATATTGACAGCATTGATTTTAAGACATCCATATTTTCTTTCTCTGTAATCTACATAATAATGGTGCATTTCCCAATCAGTAGCACCTTAAATGAAATACAACATATCAAATTCCAATTCCAAACCTGCCCCTTTTTTTTGACATAGGTGGCACTAGTATTACCAATAATCATTACTATCATTTTTTTTTCACTATTGGAACAAAGAAAAGGAAAAGGGGAGGAATGGAGGAAGAAGTAGGAGCTATACTAAAAGGAAGAAAAGGATGCTACACATAGAGAAATTTTCTAAGATCAAAGTAATAGAGCTGGCAGAAGGAAAAAAGATTAACCTAATTCATACCTAGTTAAGAAAACAAAAGATAAAGATATTCAATCTGCCAATTTTACACACCAGCTCCTTTACAGCAGTTGTGGCCCAGGGCATCTACCTGTTGTGATGGGTGGGTTATCTGTATGTAATCTTGGGGTAGCTGAGAAAATATAATGGCAAATAACCAACCTCTTAGGCATACAGGGCATGTTTACAATGGAGGCATTCTTAAGTCAAAATAGTGCTAATGAGAGTAGAAATCACTATATTGATCCATTTTCTAGGTCTTTGACTTGTCTTATCAAACCTTCCAATGTACAATTCTACTTAGGGTAATCACAAAAGCATTAAAATCAACTCTCCGCAGCTCTTCAGTAATTGCTCCAATACCACATAAAGCAGCTGTATGGAGCATGAGATTTTCTACGCCCAAACCAACATGTGTGTCCAAAGTATAAGTTTTCTTATTAATGTAATATGCTTGGGATAAATATCTCCCTAACTGAAGCAGATGATTGCACCTACAGGCAACATTCTCAGAAAATGGCAACTTAAATTCAATGACAGGAAGGCACTTATGAGTATCTTGCTTAACAAAATATTCAGACACACCTGATTGAAAGCAATTTAGTTATAAGTAAAGCAAACCTTATTAAAATAAAGACTGAATGCAATTTAGCTGACTAATCAAATTATTAAAGTTCAACCAGTTGCCTGGTTGAATTTATGTCCTTATAAGAAATTTTACTTCTACATATTTTTTCTCTTGGCAACTTCAGTATCTTGAGATGCCAGACAACAGAATTCATCAGTGTTAAGTGTTTATATTTATTCTCTAAGTTTTTTACTTTGTGAATCAAAATCCATCTACAATGCCTCCTAAGTTTCATTAAACATTTTTTCCTAAAACATAAGTTTACAAATTCATCATGATTAAAAATTCAAATTATACAAAGGCTACAAAATTAATTGTGAAAATCTCCTCTTTCTACCTCCATATAAAGAAGATGACCAACATTAATTCAATACATACTGTCCCAGTCTTTCAGCTATGAATGTTTCTACATAAATGAACCTAAATGTATATGGTTTTAAAGGGCTTCTTTAAAACACATACATTTGCTGACATGATATATGTGCCTTGCACTCTTTTCTCTTTCTTAAGGTACTGAGACGATTCCATGTCAGTACAATACATTTACTATATTCTATTCCATAATAGTCCTATTTTACCTAACTATTTCCCTACTGAGGTTTTCCTAATTCTTTGAAATTATAAAGAATACTGCATTAAAATTATATATATCAAATAAATAGATGTCAGAAAACACAGTAAAAACTACTATAATTATGGAGGCACATTCCACAAGTAAGATTCCTTTAGAAGATGAAAGATTGTCAGATAAAATT